CACCTGTCAGTCATGTTAATCCCCACGTTAGACAATAAGGGGTGTATGAGCAAAGGATGTAAGTTGACTTTTATGCTATTTTGCAATTGGATGTATTTCTAAAGGAAAAGCTAAGTCTAGATTCTTGGTACAGTGCTATTGCTTGTCTTTTTTTTTGGGGGGGGGGGTAGGGGTGGGGGTCTGGTTGTGGGGCCTGAACTCTGGGCCTGGGTGCTCTTCAAGTCAAGGCTAGTGCTCTACCACTTGAGCCACAGTGCCACTTCTGGCTTTTTTCTTTTTGCTTACGTGGTGCTGAGGAATCGAACCCAGGGCCTCATGCATACAAGGCAAGCGCTCTACCACTGAGCCACCTTCCCAGCCCCATTGTAATTCTTGCATTAAGAAAAACTGTTAATTTCCTAAAGGTAACTCAGACTGCAGAAAAAAAAGTGGTCAGTTTAACCTTCCGGCCAAGAGGTAATGGGTGTTACCCAGTGTTTTAATAGGGCATTTAAATACAAATTAAAGTGACTTTTTAAAAAAGGGATTTAAAATGGCATCCCCTTTGTGAAAATTTGGGAAGTTGTGGGGAGTGGCTGGCCTCCCAGAAAAAGAAAAAGCTCGAAGTCAAAATTGTCCTAAATGTTTATCTCAAAAAAAATTAAGATTACCAAGATGATTGTTTATTACAGTTTGCCCTTATAGGTTTTTTTGTAACAGTTTCCAGCAGGCCCACAGTAAAAACAGGACAAGTTTGTCCAATGTAACATTGGCCCTTAATAAGTTCCAGGTAAGACTACACTTATAAAACCACTTCCAATGACCTTCTTTGTTGCTTTTAATTGGAGTAAAGTGGCCCTTTGTAAAGACTCATTGATCTAAAACCTATGGCTTGAAGCCAGCCTGGACAGCCAAAGTCCCTGTGAGACTGTTATCTCTAATCAGTCAGCAGAGTGCTGAAAAGCAGGCACATTTGCTTTAGAGTTCAAAGTGGCAGAGTGCTAGCCTTGAGCTGAAGTGCCCAGGGACAGCACTCAAACCCTGAGTTCAAGTCCAGCAACCAACCAAGGAAAATGCTAAAGATGCATTTATCCCAGCATGGAGAAAGGCACTCCTGGGACCCTGGCAATGATGGAGCATCCCGAGGCAGAAAGCCACTGCTGTTGGATGGCAGAGATGGTACCAGATCCTGGAATCACTTTTGCTTGGCCCTTCAAAACTTGATCAGAACCAGGAGGTCATGGGAAGATAGTTTGTAAGCATGCCTAATGCCATGTCTGTCTAACTGGGCAGGAACTTGCCAGTCATTTATGATAGTGAGTAGTAAAAGCTAAGGTTTTAAAATGTGAGGGATAATTTAAATCCCATCCCCCCTGTATCTGCTCAAAGTCCTAATTGGCAGTGACATTTGAGCTGGTCCAGCCACATTAGTTCATCTGTTAAAGAAAAAAAGATTGTGAAACTGAGGTTAGGTCCCTATGGAGATCTGTCGAAAGGCCTACACAAGCAGGCATTGTTGGGGCCACTAGAGATCAGGTTCCTCAGCCAGCCAGAAAAATGCTTTCACAAATCAGAGTGTAAAAAAGGATGGTAGGGGAAATATAAAGGAGGATGTAACAATGCTCAATAGGAAATGGACTCATTACCTTGCTCCTACAATAGCTTTACAATAAAAAAAAAAGTATATTAAAAAAAAGGGCTATGCAGCTGTAGCCCAAGAAAAGGTCTGTACATTTGTTAAAAGTTACATGTGGTATATAAGCCACTTTAAACAGGCTGCCCAGAGGCAATGGGAACTACTCAGAGTGCCAATCAGCTGTACTTTAAAAATATCTACTGGAGCCGGGCGCTGGTGGCTCACGCCTATAATCCTAGCTACTCAGGAGGCTGAGATCTGAGAATCGCGGTTCAAAGCCAGCCCGGGCAAGAGAGACTGTGAGACTCCTATCTCCAATAAACCACCAGAAAACCGGAAGTGGCACTGTAGCTCAAGTGGTAGAGCGCTCGCCTTGAGCTGAAGAGCTGAGGGACAGCGCCCAGGCCCAGAGTTCAAGCCCCACGACCGACAAAAAATAAAAAATAAAAATAAAAATAAAAATATCTACTGGGTTTTATTTTAAAAAAACTCTGGTAAGTAATTGTTAGTCAATTTTTAACAAATTATAGGTACTCTCTATCTCCAGTTATCTCCTTGTTGCTTTAATTGGGAAAAAAAAAAGGGGGGGGCTTTTGTGACAAAAGACTCCTTTTTCCACAGTTCAAAGCCATCCTGGGCACAAAGAATCTTTCTAAAACTCCATCACCCAGCTAACCAGCAAAGAGCCAGGCTGGAGGCATGGCTCAAGAATCTCATCTCTAAGTGTCCAGGCAAAGGCTAAAAGTGGCATTGTTGCTAAAAGTGGTAGAGCACTAGCCTCAAGCAGAAATGCTCAGGGACAGTGCCCAGGCTGTTGAGAGCCCTGCAGGGAGTCTCTCTGCATGATAAGCTTGACTATCTCCCTGGAACATCTCTCGAGGCTATTTACAGAATCTGGTCTTTGCATCCTGCCCCAAACAAAGACCAGGTAGCTGCTATTGACCACCTTTTCACATTGCCCTAAGCAAACATCCTGCAGCTGCTACGGCCAATGAAAAAGCTTCCTTATTCTAAGCATATAAATACCCCTGTGTGAAAAATAAAAATTGGCAGCTTGATCAGAATCCCTGTCTTGCTGTCCTTCTTCGTGTCTCTTGTCCCTTCATTCCTTCTCGCTTAGGTTCACTGCCCTCGTTGAAGTCCTGTGGGTCGGGACAACTGGCGCCCAACGTGGGGCACGAGCCTCTGACTGAGGAAGGAACGCCGTCCTCCGGGAAAACTTGGTGAAGTACAGTCCGAGATCCCGAGATCGCCTCGACAGACCCGGCCGAGAGACAGATCCAGGAGGAGAGTGGGGACGGCGCATGGTGAGTGACCCACTATGGGACAAGCAATTCGTCACATGATCTATTTCTGTCAGGCCTCAAGGAGGCCTTCAAGACACGGGGAACGCGGGTTAAGAAAAAGGATTTAGAATTATTTTTCTCATTCATAGAGGACTTGTGTCCTTGGTTCTCCTTTGAAGGAATCATAGATGCAAAAAGATGACAAAGAGTAGGAGATTGTTTAAAAGATTATTATGAAATCTTTGGTTCAGAAAAGGTTCCTGCTACGGCCTTTTCCTATTGGAATTTGATTAATGAAGTTTTAAAATGTTCTCTATTTGATAGTGGAATTTTAAAACTTGTAAAAACGGGAGAGGAGGTTCTCCAACATGCCTCGGCCCCCCGCGGCTTGCCTATTGGTTGTATTAGATATGACTGCTGGTCAATTTCTGAAAATCCCTTCCTTTTGTGGCCCAGCCCTTCACGGGCCCACTGCCCCTCCAGATCCAGATGTTTTTTCTCTCCCCCCTTTACCTAACCTGGCCCCTTTACGCGAGGCCCTTCAACATAGACGAGAACACCTTCAACTTTTAAAAAACTGTGGTCCCTTGATTATGAACTCCGCACACTGGCCTTGGCCAATACGCCAAAACCGCCTGATAAAATTAAGGTTAGATCAGACCATCAATCAGTTCTCGCCTTTCCAGTAACTCGGAGCCAGACAGGTAGGACCTCAGAGGGTGAGGAGGACGAATCAGAAGAGGAGGAAAAGGAGGACGAAGAGCAGGATACTGGGGATGAAGAGGAACAACCCACCCAGGGAAAAGGCCAACAAGAGTATAAGAGGCTTAGCCTTCGGTTTGTTGAAAAGCTTAAAAATGCATGTGCCCAATATGGCCCGACTGCCCCTTATACGTTAGCCTTATTAGAAAACCAAAGTGCTCACTGGCTCACCCCTAATGATTGGAAGTTTCTGGCCCGTGCCACCCTTAGTGGGGGTGATTTTGTTTCATGGAATGCGGACTTTAAGGAACAATGTAGAGAGACCGCGCAAAAAAATTTGGCTAAAACATCTTCAAAAACCTGGACCTATACTAAACTTTTGGGTAATGCTCCCTTTGATACCAATGCTAAACAGGCGCGCTTTCCTACCGGACTTTTGGCACAAATTCAAAATGCTGGCCTTTATGCTTGGAAGCGTCTCCCTCAAAAGGGATTGGCTACTATTTCCCTGGCAAAAGTTAGACAGGGGCCAGAGGAACCCTACAGTGACTTTGTCTCCCGGCTTAACTTGGCTGCAGAAAGGCTTCTTGGGCTGAGTGAAAGTGAAAGTGCCTTTGTAAAACATCTTGCCTTTGAAAATGCTAACCTGGCATGTCAAGATGTCCTCCGGCCACATAAAAACAAGGGTGACCTCTCTGAGTTCATCAGGCTTTGTGCTGGAGTAGGGACCACTCATGCCATGGGGCTCGGTGCTGCCTTTACCAAGGCATTTCAGTCCCCAGGTTGTAAACAACCTGGTCACTTTGCACGTGAATGTCACTTCAGCAAACAAAGCCAAGGGGCAATGCCCTCCAAAGCTACAGGTAGACCACTCCCTGCCACTCATTGTCTTTTAGATCAAGAACAAGTGGCCCCAAGGTGGCTGCCAGAAGGCTTGATTAAACATGTGAATGCCTTATCACAACCCAGGGGAAACCTTCCCCCCAGGATGATTCCTTTTCTCTTACAGATGCCACTAGAACTCCAAACTTGGACCTTCCTGTTTGAATTTATTAAATAACAGATTAATCTCTTGTCTTCTAAGCCCATACAGGTTCATCACCATCGCCTTGATATGGCAGACCTCGGCATTGAGGTCTAGGATTTACCCCAGGCTTTTAATTAGTGTTTTGCCGTGAGCTTGTTCCAGTGGGAAACAGCCCCCCTTCTTTTTCTTATTTAGAAAACCCTTCTTATTCATAACTCCTGACCATTCAACGGGCAAGACCTATTGCCATAAAGGATAGGTTTGCCCCTCCTCCTATAGGCCCCTCTGCTTGGGGGAGGATGCACCTATGGGAGGAAGAAAAAATGCTCAAATCAAGGGTGCAGGTAAGACTGCAGGGGGATGGATCTGTGAGATCCCAAAACCCAAGACCCCTGAGTGGCAAGCTCTGGTGCATGACGGTTGGCATGCACACCCACAAGCCGTCTCCACAAGCCAAGGCTTGTAAAATTCCCCTCCCCGAGTGAGGATGCTAGCTCGGGTGGGGGCCGAGGAACCCTGGGCCATTAGAGGAACAGAGCCTCTGTCACCCCCTTAAAAAGAGCAGCCAACAATTGATGGTCAATTTTCTAAATAAGAAAGGGGGGAGTCTCTCTGCATGATAAGCTTGACTATCTCGCTGGAACATCTCTCGAGGCTATTTACAGAAACTGGTCTTTGCATCCTGCCCCAAACAAAGACCAGGTAGCTGCTATTGACCACCTTTTCACATTGCCCTAAGCAAACATCCTGCAGCTGCTAGCCCAATGAAAAAACTTCCTTATTCTAAGCATATAAATACCCCTGTGTGAAAAATAAAAATTGGCAGCTTGATCAGAATCCCTGTCTTGCTGTCCTTCTTCGTGTCTCTTGTCCCTTCATTCCTTCTCGCTTAGGTTCACTGCCCTCGTTGAAGTCCTGCAGGTCGGGACACAGTCCAACCCAGTAAATGAGTCCAAACCCAGTAAATGTCAACTGGGACAAGCTATCCAAGCAATGGACGCTGAGACCCTCCCAGAACAAAGTGAGTTCTACAATAGAAAATCGTGGAGAGGAGTAAGAAGAAATAACATCCTAAATGGAGTCACTTTACACTTGCCCTTTCAAAATTAATCAGAGCCTGGAGATCAAGAGAAATAGTTGCTTGTCTACCTAATATCCATACCTGTCTACCTTCTGTAACTGGACAGAAAGTTACAGTCTTGCCTTTGTTACCTATTTGTATTTATAGTAGCCTTTGACTGGTACTCCCAACCAGTCCATTATGTTCTCCCCTAGCCAGTTGCCAAAAGATCCTAGATACTCGCTTCCTGCCCTGAATCTAGGTATTCTTCCTCCCCAGTTATGGGCTTATACTCCAAATGGAACTTTTCTGGCCCATAGCCAACATGTGTTCTCCTATGTCATTCATGTTAACTGACCTTGTCACCTTGTCAGCTTTTTGCCTGATCTTTCCAAAAGTCTCTTTCAACAGGATAACATTCCCTGCCCAGAACCATCTGGGAACAAGTCAAGGCTATCCTGTTACTACAGGCAACCAGAAACATCACTTACACTGCCCTGCCTTGCCCAGTACAGACCTAGACCCTAAAAACTCAAGCTCCAGGGACTCCTTGATGCCCCTAGACCAGCAGGAATTAGCTAAAAAAGCCCATGACACCCATTGGCTCTGGTACCTTTAAATATTTCTGCTACCCCCTAAGGTTACTGTGATCCTAAAGCAAGAAAAGTCTTACTCCTCCTCCTCCAGGATGCCGGGAGTCAGGTACCATGCTATGTCTCCAATCTGAGATAGAAAAGGCAATTTCAGGTCTTTGATAGCCCCTTCTGGGAATCAATCCCTCCATGGCATATTTCTCTCTTAGGGTATTAGCAGCAATTTTTGCTTTTTTATCGTGTCTTGCATTTTAGATAACTATTGTCATGGAAAAAGGAGGACCTTTACCAACCAAACTGTCAAGCAGATGTTTTTTTGGACAGTATCTGGCCAAGCAATGAAGCAGGAACCCCTGACTACTTCGCCCCTTTACAGCAGGAAGTAGCTCCAGAAGAAATGACCTCCACCCATTACCCTCCCCCTTGGCCTGGTATCCCTATTTTACTAAACAACAAAGTGGGAAATGTTAGCATTATGCCCACCTTTGGTCCTCAGCTCCACCCAGACCTGAGCTCCTCCCATCCCTGGAGTTCCCACCATACAGCTGGCCTCTCCCTCTCTCCACCCAGACCCACTTGAGCACCCACCTACCTCACTTCCTGCCCCCAGTGTCTCAGCTACCTGAATAGAGACAGATGCCATGTGCTCCCTCTCCAGGGAAATATGACTCCTCTAATAGACCTTGTAATAATCTTTCTCCTGTGCCTGCTTGCCTGCCTGCCTGCCTCCATGTGGTCCCCTGGGATGGATGTGAAGGACTGCTTTCACCCCCAAACTTTCCAACAAAAGTTACTTAAACTGGCCTTCAACATCTTTAACATCTTTATCAGGATGAAGAAGCCAAAGAAAAAGAGGAGAGACTTTCTAAAATCAGATACCAACTCTTGGCTATAGCCAAGCAGCCAGATCATGACCAAAACAGGCCTCTGCTTAGGCTCCTTCACTAATCTATCACTGACAGTGGCTTGTTGGCACACATACTGGGGCCAGTTTCTTATCTCTTTTTCTTCCTTCATTGTACCACCTCCTCCTTTTAAAATTTAAGAGAAGTGCTACCTCCTGCCCTTGAAAATCTGGTTTGGGCACCTCCCTCAATTGTCTTTGCAGAATGTCTGACTCCTAGGAAGAGACAAAGGCTACTCTGTAGATTTTCCTGCAATCCTCACTCTTCTACCAAGCTTACTCCATCTTCACTCTAGGTGTTCAAAGGTCAACTCATATGCTAATGTGCATCGTTACCAAAACTGTTTTAAAGGTTTTCTATTCTTGTTATCAATGCTTGTTTAAGCATAGAGATTCTGTTAAATTCTGTTTGTTGTTGGTAAAATTGTGTCCTGAGTTTTGCCTTGCATTTTGTTTGGTGTTTTCTGCTTTTCTAGCATTGACCAAGTGGTTCTATCAGGTAATGGACAAAAATGTCTTTTGCCATTGGAACTCCAGAAAACATATGGCTGACTTGCATTTTTAAAACCAAGCATGCCTTGAAACTTATGTGCACAAGGAGGTATGTGTGAACATGTTCAAAATAATCTCATTTAATACATAAAAACTGTCATCATTGGGCTGGGGATGTGGCTTAGTGGTAGAGTGCTTGCCTAGCACACATGAAGCCCTGGGTTTAATTCCTCAGTACCACATAAATAGAAAAAACCAGAAGTGGTGCTGTGGCTCAAGTGATAGTGTGTTTCTGAGTTCAAGTCCCAGGACTGGCAAAAAAAAACAAAAACAAAAACTGACATTATAGTGTAAAAAAAAAAAAGTATTCTTTATTTTTTTTTTCTTTTTGTCAGTCCTGGGGCTTGAACTCTGGGCTTGGGTGCTGTCCTGGCACTCTTCAGCCCAAGGCAAGAGCTCTACCACTTGAGCCACAGCGCCACTTCCAGCTTTCTGGTGGTTTATTGGAAATAAGAGTCTCACAGACTTTCTTGCCTGGTCTGGCTTTGAACCACAATCCTCAGTTCTCAGCCTCCTGAGTAGCTAAGATTACAGGTGTGAGCCACTGACGCCCTGCAAAAAAAAAAAAAAAAAAAGTAGTCTTTTCTATCAAATTAAAGTGCTTCTGTCTTGAATATTGATATTTTTGAGTACTGGTCTGTCCTGAAATTATTTGCTTTTTGAATGCAATTATAACTATTATCTGTGCTGTTTATTACCAGCAGTCATGTGAGGAATGTGAATCTTGTGTTAAAGGAGTTAATTACCAAGAGTGCTGCTTGTTAGAAGGAGAAATCTTTATCTGTAGAAGCAGTAAAAGGAATGAGACCCAGCCCCACTCCTTGACAGTGAAATGGAGAAATACATAAACCTTTCTAACCTTAGTAATCAATTACACTTAGAATGTGAGCCTAAATCTTTGGCAAGGAGGAAGGACAGCTTGGATTGTGATACATACCTGATGAGCTCCTCCCTCTACTCCAAACAGCCTGACTGTGGGTAGAGTAACAGTAAGTTAACCAAGACTTAACTGGCTCCACAGGCCAAGAAGGAAAAAACTGCCCAGTTTAAACTCAAGCTGCAAAGAAGCTCATCAGATGTGAGTGTGAACAAATGTGTTTAAAAGATAATCCAAAACACAAATTAAGGAAAAACCAGTAAGGAAATAAGGAAATATAAGGAAAAAGAGAACCTTGGGAAAAGAATTGAGGAAACAAAATAATGGTTTCCTTTGGATAAGAAAGGATTTGGGAAGAATCATCTTAAATATTTGTTCAAACAGACAAAGGAAGAAATTAAGACAAACCCAGAAGGCTCAAGTATGAGTATGTCTTAAAGATAGAGCTTACGAGTAAAGTTGGTATGTAATCAAGTTGGCTATGATTTAAATAGATCAAGATTAATAATACATGAGGTAAAACCAGCATCTCATCCTTTAAGTCCATCTATAAAAGTAATTGTTTGTACAAAGCAAAGTTTACTTAAATGTTTGCTTATGCTAAGGTTCTTCAAATGAACACTTTTTCATTGAACGTCTATTTTTCACAGTCTAATGTCTGTTTCCCAAGTATGTGAGCTGCCTTAGATACAAAGCTGACAATAGTTTCAGTCTTAATTAGTATACTAAAGTGTTGTATTCATTTAAAAACTAGATAGTTTAATCAGTTGCTGTTTTACTATTGAGTTTTATCATTCCAGATTTAATCTCTAGAGCATTTAGTAAGACCCACAGTGGGAAAAATAACTTACAAGTATTGATCACACTTAATTTCTATTCTTAACAAGTTTCAGGTAAGCCCTGCTTAAAAACTTTTCTATTGATCTCCTTGTTGCTTCGATTGAAAATATAGAAGCAAAAGACTCCTTTGATCTGAGGATTGTGGCTCAAAGCCAGCCTGGGCAGACAAGTCCATATGAGACTCTTACCTCTAATTAACCAGTAGAACGCTAGAAGTGGTACTGTGGCTCAAAGTGGTAGTACTAACCTTGAGAAAAAGAGCTCAGGGACAGTGCCGAGACCCTGAGTTCAAGCCCTGTGACTGACAAAAAAACATCCCACCAAGACACAGATACCTTCGGAACAAAGTTTGTCCTGGCAAGGAGAGTCCATCCAGAGGAAGATAAAAAGGAATGGTTTCAGATCCTAAATGGAGTCACTTTGTTGTTGCCCTTTCAAAAGTAGCCAGAGCCAGGAGATGAAAAGAAAATAGTTAATAAGCATGCCTATCTAATGTTCATACCTGTTTTTCTTACTCTTAGACTCAGGATAGTTTGACTTGGCACATACCTGGGTCTCCCATCCATATTCTATAGTCCACACTCTGTAGTCCAGACATCTATAGCCCAGATATCTATAGTTCAGTTACAGGAAATGATCAAGGCCTCTCAACCAGCCCTTAACCACTCCAATCTAACACTAGCTTCTGACTGGTTATTCTTAACCAGTCTACCATGATCTCCCCTTCCCAGTCACCAGAATCCTAAATACTCCCTTCCTGCCCCCAGTCAAATTATATGGAAATTTCTCCTTCCCTGTAAGACCACAACTAGGTTTGTGCTCCAAATGGAACGTTTCTGGCTTGTGACAGGATGTGTTCTGTGTTATTCATATCAAACTGGCCCTACCATCTTACAGCCTTTTGCCTGATCTCAACTCAATTGCAGAGACATCTCAATAGATGATAGGAATCATCCCCAAAAGGCATCCTGGTGGGATTCCCTATCATAGTGATCTCCCTGGCTGGCCCTTCTATTGGGACCTTTATAATCATCCTCTTCTCCTTCTCAGATCCTGTTTTCTCAAACTTTTTCAAAATTTTCTCTTTAATAGGATAATAACCTGCACTCAGGACTCTACCTGGGAGCACATCGAGGACATCCTATTATTGCAGACAACTGGAGACTTTGCTTACACCCTGCCCTGCCCAGCACAGAACTGAACCCGGAAGAGAATGCAGCCCCAGTGATTCCTTGATGCCCCTATGTCTGCAGGAAGTAGCCAGAAAAGACCATAATGTCCCTAAACTTGTTATACCACTTCAGGGTTTCAAATGATGGGAATTTGCTTTGTTCTCATAACTCCATGTTTCTCCCATGGCCCACTGACCACCCTCCCATGGAGACCTCTCCTTGTGTTCAGGAAAACCTCAACCCTAACCTTATCTGAAAGCACAGGATAGGCCTTATCTGAAAGCACCACCAACATCAGGATGAGATCCCTACAATAAAATTCCAAATGGAACCATTTGCACCATAAATCTCAGCAGGATAGTTCACATGATAAATCCCCAACAGGACCAGACAAAGAAATTCCAAAGAAGAGTCCAACCTCTTTCCCAGTCTCCTCTTCCAGCCCAATCTTTTTATTTATCCAACAACCCTATATGAAGGACTTATCTACCTCTCCTCTCTTGGCCCAATCTTCTTATGTATCCAAAGATGGAATATGAAGGATCAACCCCCACCCTATTATTCCAGGTGCATACAGACATCAGGCAAAACCCAAAAACTACCTAAGCCTGGCTGGAAACATTCCATCCTGGGCCCAACTGAAAGCCCTCCACCTCCCTAGACCTAATGGCTTATCATTAATCACTGCTTCCTTGTTCAAATCCCATAAAAGCCCAATTCCAACCCCACCTCTTTTGCACAACCTCCATACTTGCAGAAAGGCTGTGTCCCTCGGTGTTATGCCTCAATAAGCAGTCCTAACCTGTTGAGAATTAAGCCCAGCCTATTCTTTTTATTTTTTTCCTTTCTCCTCCATTTTCCTAGTAACCTTGGACAGGTCACTTAATCACTAGGCTTCTCACAGGTCCAATGTGTTTCAATAGCTATTGCATCAGGAGATTTGAATTAGCTAAGTTGACAACAATAAAAAGTTTATGTGTGTCCACGTGGACAGCATCCAGTAAAAATTCATTGTTACTACCCTCTTGTTTCCCGAGAGTTTAGTACCTCATATTTTCTGCTGTCCCTTTGCCACACATTTCTCTCAGTGCCTGAGCTTGCCTGGTATTATTCTTCCCTCTCCCATGGCCAATCCACCTCTAATGACCTCCACAGACTCACTTTTGGAGGAGTCATTGCCCTACACCTTCTCATCCGGGCTCAATGTGTTCCCATACTATCTAATCTAATCTATGAATTTTTATTGTGGGACTGTGATTTGAAGTCAGGGCTAGGACACTGTTCTTTAGCTTTTTGATTCAAGGCTAGCTCTACCACTTGAGCCACAGCTCCAACTTTCATTTTTTTAACTTGTTTTAATTGTTATTATAAAGGTGATGTACAGAGGGGTTACAGTAACATAAGTGAAGTAAAGAGTGCAATTTTGTTGTTGTTGTTGTTTAAAGTTTTTTTTAATTTAATTTTATTGTAAAGATGCTGTACAGAGGGATTACAGTTACAAGAGTAAGGTAATGAGTACATTACTTGTCAAGCATTGTTACCCCCCTCCTTTGTTGTTCTTCCACTATCCCTGCCCTCCCTCACGTCCCTCACTCCTCCCCACCCCCAAAGTTGTAAAGTTCACTTCCAATATAGTGTCTTGTGAGTATCTTTGTTGCAATCGTCATCCTGTGTCCTTGTTTTAGCGTTTTGTTATTCCCCTTCCCCTCCCCAAATTAGACAAATGTATATACAAGATGCAGGGTACCAAAATCAAGTACAGTGGCAACAGGGGATATACCATAGGGGGAAGAACATACAAAGAAATTTAAAAAAAATCACATAGTACATTCACAACAACAACAAAGAAAGACCTCATGTCCATATCTTGGGGTTCATTTTGCTTAGCATTATCATATATGGTCATATGTACATAGCTCTTGAGCTCTTCTGCTCATCTGATAAACTTATCCTAGATGTACACTAATTATTGCAAATGAGGGAAACCATGGGACCTATATTTCTTTGGGTCTGGCTTACTTGACTTAGTACAATTTTTTCCAAGTCTCCATTTCCTAATAAATGGGGTGATGTCATTCTTTCTGATGGAAGCATAGAATTCACCTCACTTCTGACTTTTTGGTGGCTAATTAGAGAAAAAAGCCCATGAACCACTGGCTCTGAGCTGTTTAGTATTATTTCAAAACAACATTTAAGAAGTTCCCTTCCATTCTAATCCGATGAGTTAAAACCCAAGAAAGCCATGCCTGTAGAGGTGGCCTGGCTCTTCTCTGTGCTTCTCCTTTCCCCACATTGGACAGTAAAAAGACTGTTTCCTCAGATAGGACACTAAGATCCTGTGGCTAGCTCCAATCAAGGAAATTCCACTAGGATACAAGTCACCACAGGGTTGAGACAATGAGAAACCCCAGGGGAACTCATTCTCTTCTCCTTAGGTTATCAAGTACTGGGGCTTGTTGGCTTAGAGCTAAAATTGAGTAGATATAATCTTTTAAACAATCATATAAATGATATGAATGCTAATGTAGCTCAAAATGTATAATTTGTTTAAAGAAAATCATTAAAACATTTATGGGCATAAAAAAAAAACACTGTAGGAAACATTGTAACAAATGTGTGCCTTGAGGCTTAATCTGTAAGTCTAGTTCTTAAGACCCCAGAAAGTACATGTAGACACTGACAAATAAAGAAATAGTATTATTAGTCAACACTTTTTTGGTAGCAAATAATAGAAACTTACCTCAAGCACATTCTAAAAACAAGCTGAATTTTAAAAATACTTACCTTAAACTTTAAATTTATGGAAAGATATTAAAATCTAGGTATAAGAATCTCAAAAGCCTTCGCTAAGATTCTATTTAAAAAAAAGACTACACTAAGGTGTGATAACCTGTTAAAAATAAAAAACAGAACAGCCTAGAAGCAGCTAAAAAAAAAAAGCAGTTTGTAAACAACATAACTTCCATACAGCTACTAGCAGATACCTGGCATTTAAAGCGTTGAGGGAAAAACCTGACAACTAAACCTTTTACCTGGCGAAGGAAGATAAAGGCAAAAGATAAAGGAAGCCTTATAAGACATGCTAAAGGAAGTTCTTCAAACTAAAACACCAGAATATTAATTAGTAATGAAAAACTCATTGAGAACATAGCCAAGCACCAGTGGCACAGGCCTGTAATCCTACCTTTTCAGGATGCTGAGATTTTAGGATAGTGGTTCAAAGCCAACTTGCATAGGAAAGTTCTTAGGACTTTTATCTCGTTAACCATCAAAAAGCTGGAACTGGAGCAATGGCTCAAGTGGTAGAGCTACAGCCTTGAGAGAAAAGGCTAAGGAACAGTTCCCAAGTTCTGAATTCAAGCCCAAGTACTGGCAGAAAAAATAAATCAAGTTCCTAAATCCATGGGTCAAATAAGAAATTAAAGCAAAACATTTAAATTTCTGAGACAAAGGAACATAACACATCAAAACGTGTAACACAACATAAAAGAGTTCTCAGAAGGACATGTTATAACAATTTTATGACTATACTAAAAAGGAAAATTTTCAACAACTTGACATTCATCATCAAAGAACTAGAAAAAAAGAAGAACTAATCCAGAAAGACTAAGAATTTATATCATTTGGGCCCTTAGACTGACTTCTGAATAGAATGAAAATTGCTAGTTGGAAAACCTGGCAAAAGCCAGCATGCAATAAAGAGTTAACTCAGGCCGGGCATTGATGGCTCCCACCCATAAGCCAACCTACAATGGAGACTGAGATCTAAAGAGTGAGATTCAAAAACAGCCCAAGAAGAAGAAAAAAAAAAACACTAAAATCTAAAAACCTGAGTTCTTATCTCTCCAATTAACCAGCAAAAAAAAAAAACCTGTAAGTGGAGATGTGGTTCAAGGTGTAGTAGAGGGTCAGCCTTAAGTGAAAAAAGCCAAGTGAGAATGTGAACCTGAGTTCAAGCCCCAATTCAAGCATGACAGACAGACAGATAGACAGACAAAGACAGAGACAGAGTTAATGCAACCATGTTTCCAGCTATGCACATGCCAAAAGATGGGCTGACCCTTGTTCACCTCTTGTGACAACCTCTATATTCTGGAGACATCCTACCTGAAGAGGATATCTCTGTATTGGGATCTTGAACTGCCCAGCCACATTTGTTCTCATAACTCCATGCTGTTCCCATGGGGCACTGACCACACTCCCCTGGGACCCCTCCTGGCTCTCAGGAAAACCTCACCTCTGACCTATCTGGAAGTAGAGGATTGCCAGCATCAGAAGGATACGTCTACCATAAAACCCCAAACGGAATGGTTTGCACAATAAATCAATCCTCAGCAGGAAAGGTCAAAGAAATTCCAAAGAAGATCTCACCTTTAAATGTATAAAAACCTAACCCTCCCCCACCCCCCACCCCCCACCCCCCACCCCCCCGCATTCCTTTGTTTCTCCAACCTTGCTTGGTGCTACATGGAATTCCTCTGCAGCGATGATGAAAGATTGTTCTGGTCTGTTGAGGTCTCTGCTTTCTTTCTCTTCTTTTATCTACTTGATCTTTCCCTAACATTGCTTACATTCCAAGTGTCACCTATAGGGGAGGTCTTTGGACCATGTCCTGACCTCCCAAGATGCTGGAGACAAAACAGCTTAAGTCCCACTCTGGAACCCAGGTCTCTGTGACTGATCATGATAACTGTGGACATCAGGCCCAGGTCTTCCTGTGTGTAGTCATATATGGTTGCTGGAGAACTAAATGCTGTCCCTACAACTCTGGGAAGAGGAAGTTGTGCCAGCTCGCTCCTGGGCTCCATACCAGGCAGCCTTTATCCTTGCTGATTTTCACCTGTGTCCTTCCCAGAAGATAGAGTATATTCATGAGCTTAATGATTTCTGACTCTTCTGAGGTTTTCTAGCACATCATGCATTGTTACTGAGGTTGATCATGGGAATCCTCTGACACATGGAGATAAGTTATGAACATTACTTAGTATTTTATCAGGGTTCATTCTTTTGCGGGGGCAGAGGGGAAGTACTTGGATTTGAAATCGGGGCTTCACACTCACTAGGCATGTATTCTACCACTTAAGCCAAGCCCCAGCCCCTTTTGCTTTGCTTTTGTTGTTATTTTGCGTTGTGTTGTTTTGTTTTTCAGATAGAGTCTTGAGTTTTTTTCAGGGCCAATCTCAAACTGACATCCTCCTACTTCTACCTCCCAAGTGGCTGTGATTACAAGCATGTACCAGTGCACCTGAAATTTTCTTAATTTCTTAATTGCACCACAAGTGTATAAGATGTCAACATTAGAAGAAGCTACATGAAGCATATATAAGAATTCTGGCCAGGTGCTAGTGATTCACACCTGTAACCCTAGCTACTCAGAAGGCTGATCTCTGAAGATCTCCATTCAAAGCCACTGCAAGCAGGAAAGTCTTATCACCAATTAACCACAGAAAGAAAGAAAGAAAGAAAGAAAGAAAGAAAGAAAGAAAGAAAGAAAGAAAGAAAGAAAGAAAGAAAGAAAGAAAGAAAGAAAGAAAGAAAGAAAGAAAGAAAGAAAGAAAGAAAGAAAGGAAGAAAGAAAGAAAGAGAAAGGAAGGAAGGAAGGAAAGAAGGAAGGAAGGAAGGAAGAAAGGAAAAAAGGAAAGGAAAGTGAACTGTAGCAAAAGTGGTAGAGAACCAGCTTAAATGAAAAATCTCAAGCCCTGAATTCAAGTCCCAATACTAGCACCAAAAAAATCTATACTATATTTCAAACATTTTGAAAGTCCAATGTCATCTCATTAGGAAAAACAAAAACAAGAACAAGAAGACAGAGATGAGCATTATTAAGGCTGGGTATGGGAATGCATGTGAGTTCATTACATTCTCCCCATTTTTTTCCCTGCAAGTTTGAAATTCTTCATAATAAAAAAAAAATTAACCCCAGAGAATTCAATATGCTTTTGTGCAATGAATAAAAATAATCACATCCAAAATAAAAAAGGACAGTGCCAAAGTTGATGAGCAAATAGTTCAGAAGCAGAAATAAATTAAGATGTGGAAACTATCACCCACATAAATTAAGCAACTATCCATAACAAAATTTCGCAAATATTTATCAGAAGCCAGAACTTTCATCTCCAAATGGTGGGTAAAGGCCGTCCAACCCAAAGCCATTGGTAGTGAGCTTACACGTAGCCAACACCAACACCAGTAGGACCTGCCAAGAAGGATCCAGTTCCCGCCCCCAGCAGGACCTGCAAGAGGGCAACTTCTCAAATCTTAGGTCATAAGGTTAACCTCTTCCCAAAGACACAACAATAGGAGCCCTGCTCTTGATTGCTTCCCCATTCTTGCCCAGATGGGTTAAAAGATGTCATGACTTGATTGGCATTCCAGCTCTGAAACTTCCTCATTATACAAATGGGGGCATGTGACATTATCTTTCTGTCCTTGTTTTCTGGCTTGCATGATGAAGCACAGCATTGTACCTTCCTGGGGTTTCTGAGGATGGAGAAGGAGGAAGCTTTCCACTTTCTATCCTACCCACTGAGGCCTGGGTGCCCCCTTGTACCTCACTCAATACCAGGCAACAGGTGCTTTACAAATGCTGCCAGGGGAAATGTAGGGAGGGCAGAAGACAAGCCACATTTTGGAGCTGAAATGGGAAGAGTGAGGACAGTGGTTCACTTTACAGCTCAATCCATTCACAGCAGGAAGTCTTTTGGTGATAGGACCAGGTTGGGGACAGGCCCGGGGATTTCACTTTGGATATACAGGTGCTGCACACAGTTGGGTATGGGTAGTCTCAAAGGATTCCCTGGCTTTACCTCTGCAGGGCTGGATCCCCGTAGTTTGCCCTCCCAGGGCAAACTCCAGCCACTGACACAAAATACCCATCTGCACTGGGACTGGGTCTGGCGGTGGGGGTGGGGGTGGGGAACAAGAGGGACTCAGCCTAGCCAGCCAATCACCAGGGAGCTGCTCTCAGGCAGGCTTCCAAGTCCCAACCCCTTTGAGGGAAGGGAAAGTTGCTGAGCCACCTCTGAAAAACTCAGGCCTGCAGCCTGGAAGAGATAGGCCCAGGTGGACAGTGTGCATACAGGAGAGAGGTAAGTCATAGAGCCGGGCTAGAGCAGGCCAGGCCAGGGGAGGGGCTGGGAGAAGCCCAGTAATGAGCTTCCAAGAGCCCTGTTTTCCTTCTCACTTATTTACCAGGCACGTCCTTCGCGCTGGTCCTGCACAGGAGGGTTACACTATGAACTTGACAACGACCTTGCTCCCTGCGGTTTATATTTTGGCAGGGGGCCAGGAATAAACAACAATGCAATGAGCTCATTAGTGCATGTGAGAAGTGGTACATACCACAGAGGCAGAGCAGAGAGGAGAGATGGGCAGGTGGGTGGTGAGCAAGGTGGTCAAGAGACAATCTCACTGAGAGGTGACTGGGGTAAGATGGAAGAAGCCACGTGAGGGAAGAGTGGCTGAGTAAAAGCATGGTCCTGGCAAAAGGCAGGGGAAGCATAGAGAGTTATGAACAGCCTGGAGCTTGTGGCACTTGGGGCTGAATGACAATGGGCAGAGAAGAGGCAGGGCAGGGACAGAAGAGAAGGGCCAAGTAGCCTGACAGGGACCTGGGGCACTGAGTGGCTTCTCATGTATGCCAGACAATTTGTCACCAGATCCCTGCTTTAAAAGCCTGCACACAAACCCCAGTGGTGGCGTGAGACGTCCCTCCCTTCCCAAGGACTCTGTCCTCTCCACAAGATGCTAGTGACCATTGTGCATCCTAGGGCCCAGGAAGAAAAGGGGAAAATGCAGGGCACCCAGAGAAGGTCCACCCAGGCTCTTGGCATTCCTTTCCAGGCGCTCACGGCCCTGGGGAAGGATGTGAGAGTGAAGAATTGTCCCCATCACTAGCAACCACCAAAGGGACAGCAGAGGGGTGACCAGGCCTCCCCAGGGGTGCTACTACCTTCATAGGGGCGGGGTCCATGGAAGCTAGGGATCTGCAGGAGCACAGGGGCTGAACTTTGCCCAAAGGGCGAGAGTGGGGAGGAAGGGGAGGAGAGCAGGGAAGCTGGAATGGAGGCCGCGATGGAGGGATAAGTCGATGTAGGAGAGAGGCAAGCGACACGGGGTGGGCATTCCATTACACAAACAGTGAGTGCCAGCGCAAGCAGAGGAAAGAAAAGAAATGATCTGTACCTCAAGTGCTTGCCCTTGATCAAGAGAGACACCCATGGCCTCTAACAGGGGACAGCAGCAGGAGTGGCCCAGGGCAGGCTAGACAGCACCTAGCTGTGGCCTTGCTATGAAGGAATGGGGGCTTCTAAGAGGTCAGGAATTGGAACCCCCTCCTGACTTTGGGGCATGTACCCAAGCTCCAGGGGGAACACTCACTTCACAAGCAGAAAGCAAACTTCCCTCCCCTCGGCATCATGGCAGTCCTTGGGGTTCACAGGAATGAGCCCTGAACCTAAGAGCAAAAGAATGGGACCTCAGGATCTCACAGCAGCTGCCACAGAAAGGCATGGTAGGGTATAACCAAAGTCCGCTTACTCCCTAGTCATTTACTCCTTGGTCACGTCCAGCTGCCTGGCTAGGTGCCACTCCTTTACTCTCATTAACTTTCTTCTAGGACTTTGCATAACACGCTCCAGGCGTGTGCCACAGAATGGGTCACATGCTTTGGTGTCACTTAACGAAGTTCTTCCCTTTTCATGACTCCCGCCCTGACCTCCGCTTACATAACTGTACGCATATTGTGCCGTTCACACCTGGGCAGGGCCTCACCCACAGCTGGAGCCTGCAGGAAGAGGATGCAAAGGGGTGGCCTTTTCTCCTCCACAGGCAGCCCCCCAGTTAATACCCAGCCCGGGCAATCTCTTTCATATGCACCAAGTTCTTGGCACTGTCCAACACTCAGAGCAGACTCAGAAAGAGCCAAGTCGTCCTCTCTCACACAGACAGCTCCTCGCAAGATGAGCAGCCCAGTGCATCGAGTGTCGCTGGGGGACACCTGGAGCCTGCGCATGAACCCTGACATAGAGAGCGAGAGGCAGGCACCATCCTTTGACGTGGAAAGACTCACCAACATCCTTGACAGAGGGGCCCAGAACACTGCACTCCGCAGGAACGTTGGTAAGGGGTGGAGTGCCAGCCTTGTATCCCACCTGCTTTTCTTTCTAGCCACTCTTTCTTCCAATAACCAATTTGTCCCCCGAATGCCACAGTGAAAGAGATTCATTCCTTTGGACTTTGAAGGGAACTTTTCACATGCCAGTATTCCCTGAGCCTACGCATGTGACACAAGTGTCCTCGGCAGCAGCAGAACTGGAGACTTGACCTCATTCTGCCACAATGTCATGGTGCCAACCTCAGATGGGTGACATTTCCCAGCTGGGGCCTCAGTTGCCTCATCTGTTCAGTGACAATAGTGACTTCCGGTGTGGGTCCCTGGGACCAGGTGGTGGGAAGATCTGAAGTCACTTGAGTCCCCCTCTCTTCTCTGTCCCCTACAGAAAGCATTATCTACAGTGACCCCGTGTTTAACCTTCAGAGCAGTCATTTCATGACGCCCAATGAGCATTATGAGGCTGCGCTACACAACAGATTCCATGTCCAGAAGCTGGCACAGCGTCTAGGCTGGCAGGAAGATGGTAGTGAATTCAATTACGTTAACAGGTGCTCCATCAAAGAGGGATTCACCTGGGAATACCTGCAGAGTCCCCAGTCCCAGGAGCCATTTTCCCCAGCAAAAAACGCAATTTACTGGACAGCCCCTTCCTTCCTCAACCCTGCCCAGACCAGGGGAACATGGGACCCTGTCTTCAAGAGGTTACTACTCAACTGCAGGACCTCTCCCCCTACAGAGCCCTTTCCGGAGCCATAGGCTTGGGCTTACAAAGTATCTTCATAAACACCCTCAAGAGCCTGGGCTCGGAGGAACAGATTGCTAAATGGGGCCCGCTCTGCAAAACCTTCCAGATCATCACAACGTACGCCCAGACAGAGCTAGGACACGGTGAGTCAGGGCTGCCGCGGCGGGCAGCATTCAGGTTACTTTGAAAGTATTCCAGCAGATGGCAGTCAAAGGTCTAGAGGAAATTATGCCTTCTTGGAATTTGCATAAATGTATTCTAAGACCTCCCAAGTCATTCCTTCTAGAAAGTATTAGCATGCATCCCTATGCACCCCCCCCACCCCAGCCCACAAAGGAAAGGGGTGAACACCCCAGAAGCACACTGAAAACCTGGCCCCCTAGTTTATTTTGAGCTGCTGAGAGTCAAGACCCACCTCGAAGCTGTCCAAGTAGGTAAGAACTCTACGTTGGCCCAACATCTAACTTCCTACCTCACTTTTAAGGGACATACCTTCGGGGCCTGGAGACTGAAGCCACCTATGATCCATCCACCCAGGAATTCGTGATCCATAGTCCTACAATGACTGCCACCAAATGGTGGCCTGGGGACCGTGAGTAGCCATCCACACCCTTCCTGTCCTTCCCCAAGGAGAACATAGCTAAAAGAGCAAAGTAGCTTTGGCTTTGATGTCCAGCAAATGTCAGACTGGCTTCCTGTTCTTGGCAGATAGTCTTGGGCAAGCCCTGAAATGAGTGGGATATTAAGGATTTCATCTGTGATGTGCTGAGTGGTCCTCTAAGGAAAAGTTTAAAGTCAAGAAGGAAATCCATTTGGCTTTTGAGGGATGAAGAAGGAAGCCATGTCCACATGCAAGCAGGCACTGCTCCCACCGGACACACATCTGCATGTACACACAGCACAGCACATGTGCACTGGGCCTCATTTCAGGCCCTCCCCCACGTGCTCCAGCCCCCCATGTAATGATTAAGCTTGTTCCAGCCAATCTCCTGCTCTCCTGGCTCTCCTCCCACACACACACTCAGAAAGGCTATGGCCACCAGGTGGCAGCCACACCAAGACTCTCTGAGCCCCCATGATTTGTCTCACTCCCAGGTGTCCCACTATGGCCTCCTTCCTTGGGCTTGGGAAGTTGCTACTGAGGATATATGTAGTGTGGAAAATAAATAAATACAAATGTGGGCAGTTCAACTGAAGCAGAAGAGAGTAACAGCAGGGAAGAAGATAAGGAGGAGGATGGGAAAGAAAGAGAAGGAAGGAGGGAGTGACAGAGGGAAGGAAGGAAGGAAGGAGGGAAGGAAGGAAGGAAGGAAGGAAGGAAGGAAGGAAGGAAGGAAGGAAGGAAGGAAGGAAGGAAGGAAGGAAGGAAAGAAGGAAGGAAGGAAGGAAGGAAGGAAGGAAGGAAGGAAGGAATAGGAAAGAAGGGAGGGAGGGAGGGAGGGAGGGAGGGAGGGAGGGAGGGAGGGAGGGAAGATGAACAACCACTATCACAACTGCAGAGAAAAGAAACCAGCCTTCCAGATTAGATCTAGCAGGGTTCAAACCCCAGGTCTGTGGCCCCCAGGCCCATGATCTTCAGTACACCACTTTACTGTGTGAGACTCAGTTTCCTTATCTGAAAAAGGAGACTCATCATACCTGTCCTGTAAAAGCTAGGAAACAGGGCCACACTTCACGTGAGTTTTGATGAGCGGTGTGTTATAATGAGGTTGATGACAGAATGATTATTTGTTGTTTTCTTGTGGGAGGGGATTTTCTCATACACATGCTCATAACACAGTTCCAAAACTATTGATTTTGGTTACTTCTTTGGGGGGGGGGGATTCCCTTTCTGCGTCCTTGCTGACTTTGTGAGGATGCAAAGGCAGCCTTCTGGAATCGCAGCCACAGGAAGTCAAGTTGGGGGGCAGCAATGCTCATGGCTTTCATTTTTGTGCCCTCAGTGGGACGGACAGCCACCCATGCTCTGGTCCTGGCCCAGCTGATCTGCTCCGGAGCCCGGCAGGGCATGCATGGCTTTATTGTGCCCATCAGGAGCCTCCAGGACCATTCTCCACTGCCAGGTAAAGCCACGGGCTCCCTTCTAGAAGGGGCTCCCCCATCCTGAAAGCCTGGGAGCTCCAAGAGAGAAGCCAGGACCTATCACCATTGGGCCAGGAGATACCACCCTTGTCCAGTTAGACAGATCTAGTGCCTCGCTGGCTGGGTGACTTTTGCGCACAACGCCACACCAGACTGACCTCAGCTTGCTCACCTGCAACACAGAGGCAACATTCCAGGTTATCCCAGGTTATTCCAGGTGATCCCAGGCTGTAACTTGAAATATCAGTGTGGTTTCTGGCACACTGTAGGCACTCGACTGACAGGCAATCTTATCTCCTTCTAGGAATCACCACTGGGGACATTGGGCCCAAGATGGGCATAAATCAAGTAGACAATGGCTTCCTGCAGCTGCACCACGTGCGAGTCCCCAGGGAGAACATGCTGAGTCGATTTGCAGAGGTCAGGGGTCGGGGAACATTGCAAATCCGCACTGCCTGAGAGGCTTCCCCCAGTGGCCACTAGCTCCAGGCCCACAGAGTTCAGTTTTAAGTCCCAATCTTCCAGGACGTTCTGGTGTCCCACAGTCAGGGGCAAAACTCCAGCTTAGAAGCAGTGTAAAGCTGCTCATGCCTGTAATCGTAGCTAACCAGGAGGTTGAGATCTGAGGATCTTGGTATAAAGCCAGGCCAGGCAGTAACGTCTGTGATACTCTTATCTCCAATTAACCACCAAAAAGCCAGAGTGGAGCTGTAGCTCACGTGGTAGAATGCCAGTTTTGAGCAAAAAAAAAAAAAGCTAAGAGAGCACCCAGGCTCTGAGTTCAAGCCCCAGGACCCAGCACAATTTAAAAAAGAATAAAAAAAAAAGTCAGGGTGATCGTGGGCAAGTCACTGTTTCTCTGAGCATCAGGCTTCTCAAAAGTAAAGGTTCGCAACATGGGGTGCAGAGCAGTTCAGGGGGCCAAGATGTCCTTGGAAAAGGATCAGGCCTGGAAAGAAGCTGTCACTGAACAGACAACCAGACTGCTGGCAGAGCAGGAGTCCCACACTTTATCATTTAGTGTGGGAATCATAGGAAGTCCGGAGCTGAGAGCCAGAGCGTCTGGGGCCCATGAGACACAGCCAGGGAAATGGCAGGCTGCCCTGGGGTGGTGAGGCCCACGGTTGGCGGGGATAGGGGTGCAACCGGCTTCAACCGGGCACCTGTCCTGATTCCCCACAGGTCCTGCCAGATGGCACCTACATAAGGCATGGAACAGCACAGAGCAACTATCTTGGCATGCTGGTGACCCGGGTAAAGCTGCTGTTGAATGGGATCCTCCCCAACCTGCAGAAGGCTTGTGTCATCTCCCTGCGCTACTCCGTCATCCGCCGCCAGTCCCAGCTCCGGCCCAGGCAAGGGGCTCCCAGAGGCTGACACACTGACTCACACACACATTCTCACATACACACACATGGGCTCTAGATAGAAGACACACAGATAAATTTGAATTTCAGGTAAACTACCATTTTTCTTAGAATATGGCCTAAATGGATGCAGATGTCTGTCTGATGCAGCAGCCTGAGTTTGAACAGCACCTACCAGCCTGTGATGCTGGAGTGGCTTCAAGATGACAGCCTTGATCCTGGCTGCCTATGACGCCAAGCCTGACGAGATCCCCTATGCTTGCTTTCTACCTCTCCATCACCAAGACTGAGAACATCTAGCCCTACGGCCTGGTTTTATGTGCTGGGTCCAGAATAATCTGACCCAAAACACACTGAGGATCTGATGCCAGGCACACTTCTGTCTCTCCTCAGCTTCCACATCTGCAGTATAAGAGAGGCAGGTGTGGTGTTTCAGTGGGGTGCTCAGGGTAGAATGCAGCAGGTATTCTAGGACCTTAACCCCAAGCCCTTCCCTCCAGCAAACCTGCAGGACCCCAAATGTGGGCTTAGAATCCTGGGTTGACATCATCTTCCTTTAAACACCAGGCCCTGGGAAGAAGGTATGGCCAGTTGTTGCTGCCCCTCCAGAGGCCTTTCAATCTGAATTACAGAGATGTCCCTTGAATGCTCCTCCATACATGTTGGATGAGCAGCTGCTGCCCTAAAAGGCCACAATTCCCATCAGCTATGGGAGGCTCCACAGACACCCCCACTAACAATCCTGTCACTGCAGACTCATGATGGACACAACCCCTTCCCTGGGTTCCACAGGCCCCGAGTTCACATCCTAAGGGCTGTTGTTTAGACTCAACACATTTCTCAGGATACAGCAAGTGCACACAGGTAGAGAAAAATTCTGGGAACAGATCTTTAGGGGTGGGGTCCCCACCTTCCACCTGTTCCCTAGGAGCAGATGGGGGAGGTCAGAGCTTTTCAGATTTTAAGATAATACAGGACTGGCTTCCTGAAGCAATGCCTCCAGTCTTGTCAGTATCCCTGTCATGGAATATGTGGGTCTTCATGTCCGGTGAGATTTTAGAAGGGGATGGACAACCTCACGTCAGTCTTGGTGACGAGTTATTCAGAAACTGTCCGTGCTGAAGGCTTTTATGGCCATGAGAATGTGAGGAGGTGGACGTGTTACACAGCTATCTTCCAAATCTTCCATTCTTTTCCTCTCAGTGACCCAGAGGCAAAAATCCTGGACCACCAGACTCAGCAGCAGAAGCTCTTTCCACAGTTGGCCATGAGTTACGCCTTATATTTCCTGGCTATCAGCCTCACAGAATTCTTCCAGCAATCCCATGACGCCGTTCTGAACAAGGACTTCACCCTCCTGCCTGAGGTACCGCTTGTCTTCTGGGGAGCAACTGTTGGAGGGTGGCTAAGATTGTACTAACTTGGGGAGCAGCCACAGCCCCAGGCCTGGGGCCCTCCCTCATCCTCTAACAAGTCAGGGTAGCATGAACATTATCCTGATATATAGTTCCTTCCACTACCACCACCTGGCCCCTGTAGAGACAATCCATGACATCCCCTCTGAAAAACCAGCAGTCCCTGGGAGTAGTGGCACAGTTTGACCTGATTCATTCCACAGAGTGTGAACCCAGAAATATCAGTGTCCAATCACATTTCCCCCAAAACCGCATGTAGGTATTATATATGATATACCATAAATGCCCTGCTTTACCTTTCCCAAGTCCAAAAACTATTCTGATTCCAAAACACAGCTGGCCCAGGCAGCGCCTCAAGTAAGACTGCATCATCTAACAGATTACATTAAGCTTCAGTCTGCCCAGAGACACACATCTCCTAAGACACATCCTGCCTGGACAGGAGCATTATAAAACTGCCTTGTTGCTCCTTCTAACTGCACCCACCATTTACATCCTCATTTTACAGATGAGGAGCCTGAAATTCACAAAGGAAAAAGGCTACAAACCTTCCTCTGAAGACTTCAAATTTTTTTAGGGGGGGGTCGGGTTGTGGGGCCTGAACTCTGGGCCTGGGCGCTGTCCCTCAGCTCTTCAGCTCAAGGCTAGCACTCTACCACTTGAGGCACAGCACCACTTCTGGCCTTTTCTGCTTATGTGGTAGAGAGATATTGAACCCAAGGCCTCATGCATGCAAGGCAAGCCCTCTACCATTGAGCCACCTTCCCAGCCCCAAGACTTCAAATTTTAAAAGGCAAATATGAGCTTTAAAAACAAACAAACAGGGCTGGGAAGGTGGCTCAGTGGTAAAGCGCTTGCCTTGCATGCATGAGGCCCTGGATTGGATTCCTCAGCACCACATAAGCAGAAAAAAAGCCAGCAGTGGCGCTGTGGCTCAAGTGGTAGGGCACTAGCCTTGAGTTGAAGAGCTGAGGAACAGCGCCCAGGCCCAGAGTTCAGGCCCCCCGACTGACAAAAAAAAAAGAAAGCAAAAACCAGCTAGGTGTTGGTGGCTCATGCCTGTAATCATAGCTATTCAGGAGACTGCAATCTGAGAATCTCAATTTGAAGCCCAGGAAGAAAAGTCAGTGAGACTCATCTCCAATTAACCACCCAAACAGTGGCTCAAATGGTAGAGTGCCAGCCTGGAGTGGATAAAGCTAAGCAAAGCATGAGGCCTTGAGTTCAAGCCCCAAAACAAACAACAAAAAACAGAAGCACAGCTCAAGGGTAAAGGGGTTGTCTAGTAAGCATGAGACCCTGAGTTTCAGCACGCTACCCCACCCCCACCCCAAGAAAAAGAAAAAATTCAAACCGGGCTGGGTTCTCCCAGTCTACTTGGTTGCTAGAGCAAAAATACCATAAATGAAGTGGCTGCTAAGTAACTGAAATGCATTCTCACAGTTCTGGAGACTTTCCAACCTCCACCAAGGTGCTACCGACTGGTTGTGTGGATATACAATGTGGGTGTTGCACAACACAAAATTCCATGACAGCACAATTGCAATTGCTAGGCAGAGGAGTCAGTGCTGAGCTACACCTCCAGACATTCTTTTTTACACTGTTATTTTTTGAGTATGGATCTTGATGAGTAAGATTCTCAACATCCCAAGTAGCTAGAATTACAGGGGCAAGCCCTGGACACCAGGTGAGAAGTCACTTTGTCTTAAAAATTGTTAAGGCGATGTACAGAGGGCTTATAACGAAATAAGTCAGGAAAAGAGTACATTTCTTTTTGGACAATATCACTTTTGGGGGGGGGGGTGCGGGACTTGTACTCTGGGCCTGGACATTGTCCCTGAGCTCTTTTTGCTCGAGGCTAGCACTCTACCACTTTGAGCCATAGTGCCACTTCCAGTTTTGTGGTGATTCATTGGAGATAAGTTTTGTTGTTGTTGTTGTTGTTTTTTGGGTCCGGTAGTGGGGCCTGAACTCTGGGCCTGGGTGCTGTCCCTCAGCTCTTCAGCTCAAGGCTAGCGCTCTACCACTTGAGCCACAGCGCCACTTCCAGCTTTTTTCTTTTTGCTTATGTGGTGCTGAGGAATCGAACCCAGGGCCTCAAGCATGCAAGGCAAGCGCTCTACCACTGAGCCACCTTCCCAGCCCTGGAGATAAGTTTTAAGGACTTTCTTGTCTGGGCTGGCTTAGAACTGTGATCCTCAGATCTCAGCCTCCTAAGGCATGAGTCACCAGCAGTGGGTGACAATGTCACTTTTTTATAACAAAGTGTTGCCCATGGTAAACACCCTGCTCCCGGACAACTGCAGGAATCCATTCCTGAGGGGAGTGTCCTCACCTACTCACCTCCCAAAGGCCCTGCCTCTCAGTGTGTTAGAATGGGAATTAAATTTCAACTTTAAGGAACACTAAATCACAGCTAATTGTATTTATGAAGGCTTTATCCTGGGGACCTCATCACCCCCAGTATCTCGAAGGCTGAATATCCACATATGAATTCTTAGTAGGTACAGGGCATTCTTCTGCTATCTAGGCAGTGGGGTGATGGGGAACACCCATCCTTACAAGCCAGCTTTCCAAACCCTCTGCTTGCTAGAATCCTGGAGGATGTGGGCGCAATCTAGACTACACCCCCTTCTGACTTCTTATTGTCCCCACAGCTACACTACCTAATTGTGGAACTTTGAGTAAGATACCAGCCCATCCATCAAGTTGGGGGCTAAGGAAATACTGCTTATCTCAGAGTTGTGCTCACAAGCAGAAGGTACAGTAGTTCCATCCCTGACTTCTCTTCCCATTCCTACAGCTCCATGCACTGAGCACCGCGGGGAAGGCCACGATCTCGGACTTCTGTACTCAGGGGGCTGAGCAGTGCCGCAGGGCCTGTGGTGGACACGGCTACTCAAAGATGAGCGGGCTGCCCACACTGGTCACCGAAGTGACAGCCTCCTGTACCTACGAGGGTGAAAATACAGTGCTCTACCTGCAGGTGGCCAGGTAAGATCCTGATTGTTCTAAGCTTCGGCCCAAACCCGGGGACCCCGCAGCTTCTGCTCAGATGAAGTCTTCTGGCCCAGGCCCACGGAAGGAGTCCGCCTGGGAGGTGTCCTTTGGGGGTAGCCCAAATTCCAAAGTAGGGTCCCAATATGGAAGACTAGCACAGAGTCCACACAAAAGAGGCTCCAGCCTGAGAGGCCACGACACCCTCCAAACAGGCAGTCCCTTGTCAGTCATCTTTGTAGCTGACAGAGCCTCGTATACTCACTTATTGCTGGATGACAAAAACTTCTGTAGACAGGGAGATCTGAGGGCTCCAGTTCAAAGCCACCTTTGGCCAAAAAGTCCTTGAGACTCTTATCTTCAGTTAACCAGCAAGAAGCTAGAAGTGGAGCTGTAGCTCAAGTGGTAGAACACTAGACTTGAACAAAAAAAGGAAAAAAAAAGCTAATGGACAGTGCCCAGGCCCTGAGTTCAAGCCCCACTACTGACACATACGCACACATACATCATAAACAGAAAGTTAAGTATAAACATAATAAAAGTAATACATGTAGTAGGCACCCTGGGCCTACTTCTATACTATTAGTCCTGTACTGTGCCCAGTACAGAAGCAAGCACTTCAAAGCTATGATCTCATTCAGCTTCCCACCCTGTCCCCAGCAGGCAGTTCCTCCAGCCCTGCCCAGAGATGGAGAGCGGGAGGCTTAGGAGGTGGAGCCAGCTCTAGAGCAGCTGCAGCAGTGTGTGTGTGGGGGGGGGGGGAGGAAGAGTCTGAGCACAGGACCCATAACCTCTGGGTCTTCACAGAGGCAACTCAGCATTCACCTGCCCTCTCCCCTCTTGTGCGGGCAATTTTGCATTTCTCCTCTTTCTTTCAGCAGAGAAAATGTCATTTCCTTAGTCACTGTACAAGTGCTCATAAATCAGAAGATTCTGACACAAAGCCACTGTTTGCACAGACCTCAGAAAGGTTTACATTCTGGATCGAGGGCTGTCTCACCAAGCCGTCTCACGCTGCTGAGCAAACTGCAGCCTGGGGGGGGGGGGTGTCTCAGTGAGGACCCCTCCCAGGATGGCCCAAGGGGGCTGTGGTGGAGAGTGGCCATCTATCCAGGGAGGCTGGCCCCAGGGCCTGCAGCCTCTTGCCTCTCCCAGGGCATGCTGGGAGTGAGGGTGGCCGAGATGGCCACACAGAGCCCCACTGTCTCACCCATCTCCACCTTCACTCCTCTTACTCCCTCCAGGTTTCTGGCAAAGAACTACCTGCAGGCTCAGCTGTCCCCCACAAAGCGCAAGCCCCTCCCTCAGTCTGTCGCCTATCTTGCCATGCCTGACCAGAGCAGGTGCCCTGCACAGATGGCAGCTGACTTCCTCCTCCCAGAGCTCTACGTCACAGCCTGGGCACACGTTGCAACCAGGTGAGCCAGTGCAGAAAAGTCAGCATCCCACCAAGGCCTTGTTCGAGTGGCCATTCATGGATACTGCTTCTGTGGGTCCCAGCCCTCTCAGTAGCTAGTGCCCTGGGGTGGGGGGAGAGGAGGGGAGGGGACATCCCACCATAAGCCATCACCCACCACCGTGTCCTCTTCCTGCTCACAGTGGTAGAAGGGCATCACTTCCCTGGGCAGTGAGAATTTGTTGTCTTTAGGTTCCTACAGCAATTTGCAATACAACGAATGCACTTATTTATATGTATATATATTCCAAATGTATTAATATGCAAACCAATGCTAATAAGTAAAGCAATACTTCTAAGTTTGAAATACCTCATAATAAAAATCCCTTTCAAAAATGTGACAATGTTTCAAGATAGGATTGGTTTATTTCCAGGCTCCAGAAGACACAAGATAAAAACAAACACTTGTCCATTCTGTCATTCGACAAATACTGTCATGTGCCTAATCACTGACAGTAGTGATCACAGCTGCTAGGGGCACACAGAGACTTTAGGAGAGACTTAACTTCCTAACAAAATGAAATCTTCTGGAGCAGGTGACTCACACCTGTAATCTAGCTACTCAGGACGCTGAGATTGATGTTTGAAGCCAGCCTAGTCAGAAAAGTCAATGAGACTTTTATTTCCAATTAATTGGCAAAAGGCCGAACTAGAGATGTGGCTCAAGTGGTAGAACATTAACTTTGAGCAAAAAAGTCAAGTATGAGAGCAAGGCCTTTTGTTCAAGCCTGAATACTGTCATGCATACATTCATGATACTATGCATACATGCATAAATAAATAAGTGGAAACTTTTAAACCTTGCCTTGCACTGAAATACCAAAAATAAATAACAAAAATTATTTTCAATATATGATAAAAGGTCTTACATCTCAACCTATGTTATTTTATAATCCCAAACTGAGAAATAGATGGATTCCCGCATACTAAAGCAAATATGTAAATCAAGATCACAAGAGACTTGGAATATTCCTTTGTACTCTACAAATAGTTTTTTTTTTTTTTTTGGGTTGGTCGTGGGGCCTGAACTCTGGGCCTGGGTGCTGTCCCTCAGCTCTTCAGCTCAAGGCTAGCGCTCTACCACTTGAGCCACAGCGCCACTTCCAGCTTGTTTTTGTTTATGTGGTGCTGAGGAATCGAACCCAGGTCCTCAGGCATGCAAGGCAAGCGCTCTACCACTGAGCCACCTTCCCAGCCCCAAATAGTTTTTTTGTTTGTTTGTGGGTCCAGTCGTGGGGCCTGAACTCTGGGCCTGGGCGCTGTCCCTCAGCTCTTCAGCTCAAGGCTAGCACTCTACCACTTGAGCCACAGCGCCACTTCCGGCTTTTTATTTTCTGCTTATGTGGTGCTGAGTTATCGAACCCAGGGCCTCATGCATGCAAGGCAAGCGCTCTACCACTGAGCCACCTTCCCAGCCCTCTACAAATAGTTTTAAGCAATAGCCAAGCACTGGTCCAAGAAGGAGAGGTGTACAAGATCCAGTCTGTAAATAACTCCAGGCCACACAGGGTTACACTGTACCCAGGAGGCAAATGAAAACACTAGAACATGATGTGACATCTGCTTATCTGCTCCCTGACAAAGTAAAATATTTCTTAATAGTTTGCTCTCCATTCAAATTCCAAGGCTCATAGGTGACCATACAGGAATAAAGGAGAGATTAGAGATGCCATTAAAAATGGAAAATGACTACCTGGGTGTTCTAGGGAATTGGGAATGTCTGCCCCATCTATGAAGTATTCGCTTTATGATATATAAACAGAAATCACTTTCACTCTTTTTTAGTCCTCTCCCTCCCCACTTCCTACCACCCGTCCATTATCTTTCCCACTCAGTCAGAAATCTGAGCCCTCTTCTCTTTGGTTTCAAGACTCATAAAGGACGCAGCCCAGTGCGTACAGACCCTCATCCAATCCGGGGCTGACCAGCAGGAGGCTTGGAACCAGACCACTATCATCCAAGTCCAGGCCGCTAAGGTGAGCCAGCAAAACCTGAGGCTGCCATTGCTCCCTCAGCCCTGCCCACCATGGCTGCCCTCATTTCCCACCCAAGGCTGCAGTCCAGGGTATTTTAATTAAAGGACTTATCTCCAAAGCAATCTCACTGCAGCTCTTAGGGGAAAAGGTAATGAGGCAGTGTTATTGGATTTGCTTCAGGTTGTTCAAATATTTCTTCCCAGATAGAAAAGCAGGTCAAGGTTCCTCTTACCCCACAGGCAGTCCTTAGATGTCTGATTCAATTTCCACTATGTTTTGTGTTCGTGCATAATTCACAGTCAGTCAACAAATATTTGAACACCCTTCTGCCCTGGCACTAGCTAGGAGCTTGACAGCGAAGGCACTGCTCATGCCCAGCTACAATCAGGGATGCAGGGGCTGGGGGGAAAAGAGGGCACATGCAGGTTGCCATGGGGCCTAAGGGCAGTTGTAACACCACTCACCCTGAGGGTCAGAAGGGCCTCCCAGCAGAAAGGGCACAGGCTAACCGGTTAAGGATTAGCTGAAATTGAGCCAGCTCAGGGGTGTGGTGGCAACTTTGAAGAGAAGGGTAAAACCAACATTTTAGACTCCAGGCCCACATGTAACTCTACATGTCAGGCTCAGCCACTCCCTTCTATATGGAATAAAGAGATGTGTGATGGCAGAGAAAGGTGGTTTACTATCTGTCTTGGGCAGCCACAGAAAGAGGCGAAAGTATGCACTTCAACCATCTCAGGGTACAGACCTGAGCTTTAGGTTTAAATAAACAAAGAGCTGAGGGAAGGAGGAAAGAGGTATGTGTATTCAGGCCCCAGGGGTGGGCTGGCTGACCTTTCTCCAGCTTTTAGTTCATTCATGAGCCTAAACAAGGAGTCACTGCTTTTCAGCCAAAGCAGTCTGAGTACCTGTAACAAAAGATTTCCAAGGAAAAGGGAGCCGCAAGTACAAAAAAGAGGCAGGATTGAAATAGGGGAACTAGAGGGGAGGGGAAGCCACCGCCTGGGTCCTTTTACACGGCTAAGAGCTGCTTTCACTGCAACAGGAAGCTTTTGTGGAGTTGTAGCAGGGGAGTGAAGTGATTCTAAAAGCATCATGCCAGCCACCAAGGGAGACCAATTAGAAGGATAAAGCAGCGGCCTGAGCCAGCCCTGCAGATGAGCAAAGCATGGAGAGAAGTGGGGAAATGCAGAGATTATATGGGGTTAACTGAAAGGTCAGACTTTAGACAGTCATGGGGGTGTTACAAAGTAAGATGGCTCCCCAAGTTTAGGCAGCTGAGATGCCAGCCCTACCAACAATTGGAAAACTTAACACGATCCCTCCAGTCCTCAGCCTTAGGAAGAGGAGAGCCCTAAAGGGCTGCAGGGAGCTTAGGAAAAGTGGGCTTGAGCGCCCCCTGGTGGTAGCCCAGCGCTTCCACCACACCCATTAAGACTAGCAAAGGACCCCTGGCACCCTTCTAGCCTAGGGAACTCAATTCTGCCCAGTCCACCAGGAGGCACCCCTGGCTGAGTTCAAAGCCTTACCAACCCAAAGGGCTAGCCAGGCTGTGCACTCTCATCGGATGGTCAGAAAAGGAACCTCTGTCACTCATCTTATTTTCCAAACACTGGCCTGGACTCTGCTTGCCTGGGTTCCTTCATTTACAAAACGTGAGCCTAGCAAGGAAGACAGGCGACTACTCCTTTCTGAGAGGGAGGGAAGCCTCCGAGGTAGGAAGTGACTAAATCAGGGCGCCGGCCTTCCTCTCAGACTACAAAGGTCAGCTGTGTCCTCAGGGTGCCTCGTAAGTGCTGAAGGTGAGCCTCAAGCTCTGTGAACACCAAGGGAGAAGAGTAAGTCTCCGGTCTTCCTGGGAAAGTGGCACCTGAGCTGTCTCCAAGATCACAGTGGGTGTGCTTCCTGGAGTCAGTCTCTCTACAGAAATCCCAGCGCCCTGAGTCCCACCTAGAAGGGAGCTAAGGACAGACAGAATGACTGCAACATGGGGAAGGAAGTCACATGGGGAGGAGGGGGAGATGCCGGGACAGGACTCATGGGTTAAGTTTTGGTCCCCGCTCTGTGTAAGGGCCAAGTGATCTCAAGTACTCTGCCCTCTGGGCTTGACTTTCCCAGCTTTATAAAACATGGAGATAGAAGAGCCCTGGAGCCTCTCACTGGCTGGCTGGGGTCTCCTCATCTCAAACTCTGCAGGAGAGATATCAGTCCTGGACAACTGGAGCTAAGGTTGATACTCCTATAACCCAGACACGTACCTGGGAGCTTTAGCAGCAGAGGTAGCCATCAAGCAAACAACCTGGGTTTTGGATGTACTAATCATATCACCGTGAACAAGAAAGTCTCTCAGAGCCTTCTTGGTCTCTTTGTCTACAAAATGATGCCAATAACAATACCTACTTTATCGGATTATTATGAAGTTTAAGTGAACATATGTAAAACTAGCCATAAGGACGTACCTTTTCCCCAAGTCATGCAGGCCACCTTCACCTCTCTTCATCCTGCTTTCTGAGGCCAAGGCCCGCCTTCCTGGCAGCTCCCCATCACTCCAGCCCTCAACCAGAGCCTTGATAAAATGCTGAGGAGGCCCATGGGTGAAAAGGGAAGGCAGGACCCCAGGGACAGAAGTGTTGAGTCTCCAGTTTTGCCAACGCAGACCCAGTTGGAGTGCCAAAAGCTGTTTGTGCCAGCAGGGGCTTGAACTGCCCAGCTGCTGGTTATCTATCCCCAAAGACTGTAAACTCAGTGAGCCTGCAAGGCGCCAGGGCTAGCTGCAAACAAAGCTGTTAGCACCTGTGGGAGCCCTCCCTGAGAGAGGCAGCCTCTTTCAAAATGAGAAAGCAGCGGCTCACGGCCCTGCTAAAGACCACGGTGACTCCTCAGCTGTGACCATGTTACAGCTCGGCACTGACCAGACCTCCAAAGATGGGTCCACCCAAACTTCACAATCCACATTATCGCCATGTGGCAGCGTTTGCACAGAGTTCCCCCTGGTGAGCCCCCAAGACACTCTAAGCCTTGCTGCTCAAAGTCAGTCCCAGAAACCTGGACATGTTGGAAATGTAGTCTCCAAACACCCTATCTCTCACTCCATATTCCAAGATACCCAGCTAATCTAAATTAGGAGCATCTAAATCTGAGAAGCTCTGCTTTCTACTCTCTCCCTCCATCTCACCCTCTGAGGAACTCATATATTCTACCTGATGAGATAATTATGTGCACCTGTCTTGGGTGGAGGAGAAATAGTTGAAATATTTACCAACCAATAAGGCAGGAGAAGCAGGTTCTCCAAGGCCTCCTGCGGGGTCAGGCCTTCCTCCTTTAGTTGTTGGGCTGTGGGGACAGAAGTTTCCCCAGAAAGGATCCTGTCCAGCAGAGGGCCCTCTTGCTGGGTTGGTGGCATTGCTCATCAACCAGAACCAATTACTTGAAGTGACAGAGCCTGTGGGCTAGAGAACAGCACTGCTTCCCTCTCGAAGTTTATACTCCGATGAGAATAAGTTTCAGACACTTCTCGTGTGTGTGTGTGTGTGTGTGTGTGTGTGTGTGTGTGTGTGTTTAGTTTTTTGGGTGTGTCAGGGCCTGGAGCTTTCACTTGTCTTTTTCACTCAAGATTGGCACTCTAAGACTTGAGCCACACTTCCACTTCCAGGCTTTTGGTGGTTAACTGGAAAGAAAAATCTCATAGACTTTTCTGCCTGGGCTGGCTTTGAACCCAAATCCTCAGATCTCAGGTTACAGGTGAACCACAGGCATCCAGTTTAAACTGTATCTTTCTCACCCCATAGTACTGCATTGACATGTGATAAATAAATGCTGTTTTCTTGAAAATAAAAGTGAGGCTGCCCTCCAAGACTGCCAAGCCAGACTCGATGCTCCCATATGTTTTCTCTCCTCTTCCAACCACTTGAAACTTCCCTGAGCAAAGTGAGGAAAATAAGGGGACAGTTTCAAAGCCAACCATCTCCCCTACACACACATGCATACACACATATATAACACTAGAAATAATCACACTTGAGTGAGCAAGAAGAAAAGATGGCTGCTTCTCAGCATACTGAGAAACACATGAGTCCAAGTTTACTTGAGATGCTAGGAATCAGAAATCACAAGCTTCCAGTCCTAGAACCCTAGCTACTCAGGAGATTGAAATCTGAGGATCAAAGTTCAAAGCCAGTTGAGGCAGGAAAATGTGTGAGACTTTGTTGTTGTTGGCCATGGGGCTTGGACTCAGGGTCTCCGCGCTGTCCCACAGCTCTTTGGCTCAAGGCTAGGGCTCTACCACTTTGAGCCACAGCTTCACTTCTAGTTTTCTGGTGGTTAATTGGAAATAAGAGACTCACAGACTTTCCTGCCCTGGCTGGCTTTGAACCGCAATTCCCAGATCTAAGTAGCTAGGATGACAGATGTGAACCACCAGCACCTGGTTTGTGTACAATTTTTTAAAAATCTCCAATCAACCAGCAAAAAGCCAGAAGTAGAGTAGTGGCTCAAATGGTAGAACACCAGCCTTAAATTTAAAAAACTAAGGGACAGCACCCCGGCTCTAAGTTTAAGCTCTCGTACCAGCACCAAAAATAAAAACGAAAGAAAGAAACCAAAGACTGGTGCATCTTTGTGTCTTTACAGGCACACTGCTACTACATGATTGTGAAGACTTTTAAGGAAGCTGTGGAGAAACTAGACCGTGAACCAGCCATTCAGAAGGTGCTCAAGCGCCTCTGTGACCTCTGTGCCTTACATGGCATCTTGACCAACTCAGGTGACTTTCTCCATGACGGCTACCTGTCAGGGGCCCAAGCAGACATGGTGAGAGCAGCCTACTTGGACCTCCTCCGCCTGATCCGGTGAGTAGCTAAGCCTTTGGAGAAGTCATCCTAGACCTGGCTAGCCGGGGGTCTGGCCTTCAGCTGCAGCCCTGAAGGAATTTACTCACTAGCACTGTTAAGTCAACAGAAAACGTAAGAGTTTAGAGGGGGAAAACAGGGAGACAAACTAGAAATAAAAATGCTTAAGGATGAATTAGTTTCCTCATCTGAAATTTCATTTGTACTGTCAATTTCAATTATTCTTTCAAGGAACTAGAAACGGTATCCAAGGAGTATGAATCAAATGAAGAATGCCATGGGTGAAAGCATGTTAATAATAGTCTTTGCCATAGCTAACACATAAGGGCACATGTGTGCCAGGCACTGAGTGTGCCAAAGTTTTTATACCTATCATCTCATTTAATCCTGCAGCCCTCTGAATTGATACAATCTCTATTCTACTGGTGAGGAAATTCAGCCTTATGTAAGCTAACCTGTACGGTTTTGCACAACTAGGCAGAGAACTGTGTGACCCCTGAGCATCTTTATGCTAAGCTTCAAGGATGGTTGACTTCACACACACACACACACACACACACACACACACACACACACACACACACACACATCCATAATTTACATATTGGTTTGTAAAGAATTTTTTTTGTCAGTTGTGGGGCTTGAACTCTGGGCCTGGATGCTGTCCCTCAGCTATTCAGCTCAAGAATAGCACTCTAGGGCTGGGATGGTGGCTCAGTGGTAGAGCGCTTGCCTTGCATGCCTGAGGCCCTGGGTTCGATTCCTCAGCACCACATAAGCAAAAAGAAAAAAGCTGGAAGTGGCGCTGTGGCTCAAGTGGTAGAGCGCTAGCCTTGAGCTGAAGAGCTGAGGGCAGCGCCCAGGCCCAGAGTTTAGGCCCCACAACCGGACCCAAAAACAAAACAAAACAAAACAAAAAAGAATAGCACTCTACCGCTTGAGCCACTGTACCACTTGCCATTTTCTGGTGGTTTATTGGAGGTAAGAGTCTCAAGGACTTTCCTGCCTAGGCTGGCTTTGAACTGTGATCCTCAGATCTCAGCCTTCTGAGTAACTAGGATTACAGGTGTGAGTCACAGACGCATGGCTGTAATAATTTTTAAATACTTTTAATTTTTATTTTATTTATTTATTATTTATTTTTGTTGGTCGTGGGCCTTGAACTCTGGGCCTTAGCCCTGTCCCTCAGCTCTTCAGCTCAAGGCTAGCGCCTTACCACTTGAGCTATAGCACCACTTCCAGTTTTCTGGTGGTTTATTGGAGATAAGAGTTTCACGGAGTTTCCTGCCTGGGCTGGCTTTGAACCTTGATCATCAGATCTCAGCCTCTTGAGTAGCTAGGATTACAGGCATGAGCCACGGGCGCCCGGCTTAAATACTTTTTAAATGCAGTATTAATGAAATACAATTCTGGGTCATAGACTACTAATGGAATGCTTTTTGTCTGTCTTGGAGGCTTTTGTTTGTTTTTGTTGTTGTCAGGCTTTTTGAGACAGGGTTCTGCTATGTAGCCCAGACTGGCCTGAAACTCACAATCCTCTAATTTGGGTACTGAGTTTACAGTCATGTACCACCAAGCCCAGCTTCATCATTTATTTATTTATTTATTTATTGTTGGTCGTGGGGCTTGAACTCTGGGCCTGAGAGTTGTCCCTCAGCTCTTCAGCTCAAGGCTAGCACTCTACCACTTGAGCCACAGCGCCACTTCCAGTTTTCTGATGGTTTATTGGAGATAAGAGTCTTACAGACTTTTCTGTCCAGGCTGGCTTAGAACCATGATCCTCAGATCTCAGCCTCCTGAGTAGCTAGGATTACAGGTGTGAGCCACTGGCGCCTGGCCTCATCTATTAGTTTATACCTAATCTAAATGTTCCTTCAAAAACATACCAAAGCCAACGCCCAACTTGACTAGGGTCCCATCATCAGCAAAGTTTAAAATGGGCTAACTTGAGACATCACTGGGCACCCTATACAGGGGTGGGGCTACCTTTTCCCCTTGACCCTCTAATAATTCTCATTATCAGAAAGATGAAGAGAATAAAAAGGATAAGAAGAGCCAGGTGTGGTGACAAAGGGTAGTGGCCAAAGGCCCTGAAGTCCCAGCCACTCAGGATTAAGGCTTAAGACAAAGGCTCTATCTGAACTTGCTCCAGTGGTAAAGCATTTTCGTATTAGCAAGTATGAGCCCTACCTCCATTTCATCCCCAATATGCAAAAGAAAAGGAAAGGGTTGAAGTTTGTGGGTTAGAAGTATGGCTCAGTGGTGTTGTGTCTGTCTAGTAAAGGGTAAGCCTTGAGTTCAAACCCTGATACCAACAAACTCAATTGGAATTTTAATAAAATGATATTTTATGACAGATTTTAAAACACAGGCCAAATTCTTTTTGTTTCTAACAATATATTATCAAATGCCATCTATAACAGATAGGTGGGAGCTACTGAATGCTTGTTCAATTAAACCATCAAAAATTGTCAAAAGTATCCAGGTGTCTGTGGCTCACACCTATACATTCTAGCTACTCAGGAGGCTGAGATCTGAGGACTGCAGTTTGAAACCAGCCAGGAGAGTCTTTGAGACTCTTATCTCTAATTAACCATACTAGAGCTGGAAGTTGAGCTGTGGCTCAAGTGGTAGACTGCCAGTCTTGAATGAAAACACTAAGGGGCAGTGCTCAGGCCCTGAGTTCCAGCCCCAATACTGGCACCAAAAAGAAAAAGAAAAAAATTGTCAAAAATATATCTGATACAAGTATATTCCAGATATTCAGCTTTTCCTAATGTAGAAGATCCCAGTGGTAGACAACATTAAGAGCATAATTAAGTTCTGTAAGATTGATTCAAGCCTAATTGTGTCTCACTTTCTGATACACTTGGCATTTTAAAAGCATATGAGAAAATCACGTGGCTAGAGTTAGCAGCGGTGATAAAATACAAAAGCTCACCTTAACACCTCCTAACCATGGGTTTTTTAAATCTCCACGTGGCATTTCTAAGTGCTTGCCAGGGCTCCAGAGACTTGCAGTTCAAGACAAGACAGACAGCACTGACGCAAGCTGCCAACTTACGCATGCATCAAACCCACAAATTGATTTACTTACATTTATGGTTCCTAAGTAACCAGACAGCGCAGGGTAATTGGCTATGCAACAGATTCCAGCCTTTTAGTGGTTCTGTGTCACAGTCCCCTGCTGCCATTACTCATTATCTCCTTCAGATTTCTGAGATGACAAATGAAGGGCAGCTATTCTAAGTGACACCCCATCTAGCTTCCGGTGATGTGTGAACTGACCCAAAGTTGTTTTGGTTTTTTTAAATTGTTTAAGTGGTTGCAGCATCTCCACTGGGGACCTTCCAGGTAAGGATGGCAGACTACGCATGCACATCCACCTTTGTTCCTTTGGCCCCTGGTGTGTGTGTGTATTCCCCCCCCACCCCCTTCTTGGGGCTTGAACTCTGGGCTTGGGCGCTGCTGTCCTTGTGCTCTTCAGCTCAAGGCAAGCACTCTACCGCTTGCACCACAACACCACTTCCGGTTTTCTAGTGGTTTATTGGAGATAAGAATCTCACAGACTTTCCTGCCCTGGCTGGCTTTGAACCACAATCCTCAGATCTCAGCCTCCTGAGTAGCTAGGATTACAGGAGTGAGCCACCGGCGCCCGGCTCCTGATGTATATTTTTATAGGATCACCCCAGCTGCCATATTAAGAATTAAGAATAAAAGCAGGGTGTGGTGTAGGGCTGAGTAGAGCAAGTCCAACGAACAAGTCATGCAAGCATGAGGCCCTGAGTACAAACCCTGGTACCAAAAAAAAAAAAAATCTGGGTATGGTAATACAATTTTGTAATCCCAGCCACTGTGGAGTTGAAGGCAGGAGGGTCTCAAGTTCAAAGCCAGACAAGCCAAAAAGCAGTGAAATTCTGTCTCAAAAAACAAACAAAAACGAAAGGGCTTAGAGAGTAACTCAAAATGTAGAGTGCTTCTCTACCATGTGTGAGGCCCTGGGTTCAAGCTCCAACTCAAAGATCAATAGTTAATGAATAAAAAGCCACAGGGAGACAGGTTGGGAAGTTAACACAAAATCCAGCTGAGAGACAATCATAGATCAGAGTAGTAGCACTGGAGGTAGTGGGAAGTGGGCAAAATCTGGATATATTTTGCAAGTAAAAGAGGATTTGCTGAAAGATTAGATGTGAGGTGAGAGGAACTGCAGGAGAGACTGCAGGACTACAGGAGGGGGCAGGATGGATAGGAAAAGATCAAGCGTCTGATTTTGGACATGGTCTGTTTGAAATCCAAGTACAGATGTTCAAAAGCAGGTAAGCAACACAGGAGGGATAAATTTGGAAGCCCCTGGCATATGGTTGATATTTAAAGGCACAGAAGGAACGATATCACACAGAGTGAAGGCTTGAGAATGAATTCAAGTACTAAGTTGTAGGACCTTGCAAAGAATGGCAGTCCCTTGGACAAGAGCTGTTTCAGTGGCATGTAGGAGGAGCAGCCCTAAGCAAACCCAGTTCTCTGGAGAGAAGGGAGAACTGCAAATAGGAAGCATAAACAGGAAAAAACACTTCCAAATTCTGTCGTAGAGGAGGGCCCGCACAGGAGGAGGGTGGGAGACAGGGAAAGAGTGAAAGGTCATTTTAAGATGGGAGAGATGAACAGTGTATTTGTACACAAATGGAGATGACTCAGCAGAGGGAAATTTTGACACTGTAGAGAAAGGGCAGATTTGTTCAGGAGGTAGAGGAGAAGGTCTGACTGGCCAGCACAGGGAGCTGAGCTAGTTAACCTATACTGAGACAAGACTATGTTGTAAGTGCAATCAGGAAATGGTGGGATCTCCTCACTGCTTCTACTTTATCATGAGGTAGGACCCAAAGTCATTCTGGTAAGAGATAGGGAGGTGGGTTTGTTTAGGCTTGAGGATAAAAGAGGATGTGTGAAATAATCTCTGAGGACAAAGATAGCGTGAATGAACCACAGAAATGTAGTAAGACGCTAAGCGGCAGCCGGGCCCACTTGAACCTTTAGAACACATGTTTAGGCTAGTTTTTCCCAGTCACGTAACTACAAAGGCAACAGCAAAGTCAGCAGGAAATTGGATAGACCTTGTTATATTAGTCTGACAAGCTAGAAAAATCACTTAATATAGTTTTGAGGGGAATGCATATAATAGACCAGGGAATTTCAGGTTAGCTGAGAAGTGAGAGGGAGGACAAGAGAAATGGTCAGTGAGGGGCTCATGATAGTGAGAATTTGTCAAGAAATCATTCATTAGGGACAGTGGCCTAACTGCCTCAAAAGCTTATTGGCAGCCAGGAAAAGCCAAGAAGATTGGGGACAGGGGATGGGGAGGGATGAAGTGCTGAAGAAAGGAAAGCTAAAGCCAACCTTTAGCTTTTTCCTTCTTTGCCTGCTGTAGGGCTTGAATGCAGAGCTTGGAACTTGCTTTTTTTTTTTTGCTCACAGCTGGCATTCTATCACTTGAACCACACCTCCATTTCCATATATATAATTGGAGATAAGTCTCTCAAATTTATCTGCCCAGGCTGGCTTTGAACTGTTATCCTCCGATCTCAGCCTCCAAAGTAGCTAGGATTATAGGCATGTGCCACCTGTGCCTGGAACTCTTTACATTTTGTACTGGAGAGTCAACAAGCAACATGTAAAACTAAAGCAATACAAATAATATATTTAAAGATGCTCAGGTAAAAACCAAAACATCAGCTAAAAAAACTGAAGCTGCCTCTGGGAAAAGGAAATGACCTGAAATACTGGAATATAATGTTTTTAAAATAAAAAGCCTGAAGAAGCATTTTTGTTCTCAGATTTTCTGGGATTTGAACCCTTGAGCCATGCCCCAGTCATTTTACTTTCTTTTTTTTGGGGGGGGGGAGGCTTTTACTTTCTTTTTGGAGGGACAAGAAAAACAATTGTACTTTCACTTTCTTGATAGAGAATGCATGAATGAGTGAACAAAAGCAAAATAATGAGATTAGTGAAAATTTTAGAATCTGTATTTTAGGAAAATATTGACATTATAGACCAATTCAAAGGGTATCTGCTGTTGAGTAGAGTTTCTACTTCTTATCCTTGATTCTCTTTTGAGATGTAGAACCTTGAGAATCAAATATTGAAGCTGATGACTCACGCCTGTAATCCTAGCTACTCAGGAGGCTAAGATCTGAGGATTGTGGTTTAAAGCCAGTCTGGGCAGACAAATGCATGAGACTCTTATTTTTACCTAATCAGCAAAAGGCCAAAAGTCAATGTATGGCTCAACTGTAGCATGAGCAGGAAAGCCAAACAAGAGCTTGAGGCCCTAAATTCAAGCTCTCGTACTCAAACTGGCTTAAATATAAAAATAATCCAGGCCAGGGGTGGATTTTGACTTTGGGTATGTCAGGTTTCAGGTTCTCACAATGTTGCCATCAGAACCTTGCTTTTTTCTGTCTTACCAGAATCTCTGGCCATGTTGGCTTCATTTTTCAGCAGGCTTTCTTCTGGTAGCAGTAGAAAGGTAGTAGATTGCCCTCATTTGCAACAGTTTCAGAGTAGATTTTCAGGGTATCAAGCCTACCAACTCCAAGCCATGTCCTCTTCTGGACCACTAGCCTTCAAGGAGACTTTCACTTTATTTATTAAATAGTTTTGAGTTTGGGGGTCCTTCGAACATGACCCTCTTACCTCAACCTTCCAGGTAGGTGGGATTATAGGAGTGTACTACTGTGTCTATATAACTGATAAAAAATAAACCAACAATAATGTACCAATAATGTACAACAGAATTATTTGAAAAGTGAACAATGATGTAATCTCTGATTAGATACTGTTATTCATCCTAGATTAATTAGATTCCTAGGAACAATCTAAAATACTCACATTTGTTTCCTCTCTCAGGAAGGATGCTATCTTGTTAACAGATGCGTTTGACTTCACGGATCGGTGTTTGAATTCAGCACTTGGCTGTTATGATGGAAATGTGTATGAACGTCTATTCCACTGGGCTCAGAAGTCACCAGCCAATACTCAGGTAGTTGGGTGGAACACATTATAAATTATGTAAGAGCAGAGAACAAGCAGTAAACACACCTCTGTGTTTTCCCATTTTAATGGATTCCCATTAGGTTGAAAAATCACTGGGTATAGCATGTCCTGTTTAAAATATTTTTAGAGAATACGTAAGAGAAAACAGAGGCGTGGCCTAGCAGGAACTGCCATCAGCAAAATGCACTGCTCAGACCCAGGAAAGGAAATTACAAGGAAGGCCCAAGCTCTAAATCATGGCTTGATACATCCATCCCAGGGCATATGCATGTAGTGGCAAACAGGCTTTTAGGTAACAAGGAGATAAATTATTGTGGTAGTTTAACCATCTTATTTTCCATCTTTGCACTCAATTTTATGTAGACAAGAATGGGTAGTCAGAGGGGATAGGAAGCTAGAGGCAAAACCACGAGCAGCCAGCAGAGCCATAAATAAATAAATGACGCTATAAGGATTATGGTGACAAGATTCCGAGTAATCTTTCTAAGGAGGACACCAAAACTGTTATTAACAAAGAGAAAGAGCTGGGCACCAGTGGCTCATACCTGTAATCTTAGCTATTCAAGCAGGCTGAGATCTGAGGATCATGGGTCAAAGCCAGCCCCGGCAGGAAAATCTGTAAGACTTGTATCTCCAATTAACCACCAGAAAACCAGAAGTGGCACTGTGGCTCAAGTGGTAGAACGCTCACCTTGAGCTGAAGAGTGAGGGACAGTGCTTAGGCCCAGAGTTCAAGCTCCACGACTGACATTAAAGAGAGAGAGAGAGAGAGAGAGAGAGAGAGAGAGAGAGAGAGAGAGAGAGAGAGAGAGAGAGAGAGAGAGAGAGAGAGCAGGATTCATAAAATCCTACCTTTAGGGCTGAGGTCCAGGAATGCCCAGCTTCAAAGGAAAAACATGAGTGCCAATGGATAAAATTTGGGAACCAATACTGCATAATAGATTCAACATAGATGACCAAAACAAAATAGACTTATATTTTTACTTTTTGCAATACTGAGTATTTTAAGATTTGTAATGCAAATGTTATTCAAATGGTAAAATGAAACTTTCCTACCTCTTGGGTCCAATTTCAGAAAAGGTGTCTTCACAGCTCATTGAATTGGCAACTCTCAGGCTTTCATTCACACTCCACACAGTGTTAGACTTGCTTTTCACAATTTGTATTCTCATACCCCAAAGCTCAATTTAACATGATCAGCTGAAAAGTTAGGACACTACCAGTTACCCACACCTCACTTGTCAGATAGAAGGCCAATCCATTTTGGTCAACTCCACATCCCTTTAATTCAACAAGGAAATATAAGCAACTTCCCTAAGCAGGTGTATGCTTACTATTTAGTATAGTTAGCCTAACCTCTAGTGTAGAGCTTTTTTGAATGAGTAGACCTCTCTCCTTTCTTACGTTAAGTCTTGGCACAAAAATACAAGTCTCCCCAGCCCAGCCTGATTGCTGTGGTCTCAAGATAAATGTGCACCCTTTGGCGCTCCAGAGGCCCACCCACCCCACTGTATACTTGCCAGGAAATACCGACACTCAGAGCTCAGACCTGTTTTACTGGCCACACAGGAAACACTCGAGTTCTCTGAATTCGTCATGGTTACTAAAGACCACAGGAGCTCTCTTGCTTTTCACCTTTATCTTTTTATTTTGGTGCCAGTACCAGGGCTTGAACTCAGGGCTACACACTCACTTGGCTTGTTCGTTTAAGGCTGCTATTTGAACAAACCTTCACTTCTGGTTTTTGCTGGTAAATTGGAAACGAGAGTCTCACAGCCTTTTCTGCCCTGGCTGGCTTCAATCTAGGATCCTCAGATCTTAAGTTTTTTGAATTGCTAGGATTACAAGCATGAGCCACGGCTGCCTAGCTTTCATCTTTACCTTTCAAGATTTTACTCTGCATACCAAATGACAGCAGTCTTACCTACATAAAGCTTGGATGACCCATACAGGCAACAGATTTAGTAAAAAGTTGACATACTTTGGGGCTGGGAAGGTGGCTCAGTGGTAAAGTGCTTGTCTTGCATGCATGAGGCCCTGGGTTCGATTCCTCAATACCACATAAGCAGAAAAAGCCGGAAGTGGCATTGTGCTCAAGTAGTAAAGCACTAGCCTTGAGCTGAAGAGCTGAGGGACAGAGCCCAAGCCCAGAGTTCAGGCCCCACAATCAACCAAAAAAAAAAAAAAAAGTTGGTGCACTTCATTCCAATCATTTTTCTATCTCCTTCTACTTGACTGTGAACGTGGACATTTTTTACCTTCCTAAATTCAGAATCTACCAGAATGGCCAGACCTTACATAAACATAAAGAAAGGAACCAGCTGGGTGAGCACTGGTGGCTCACACTTTTAATCCTAGCTATCTATATAGGAGGCTGAGATCTGAGGATTGCAGTTCAAAGCCAGTGTGCACAGGAAAGTCCCTTAGAATCTCATCTCCAATTAGCTATCACACATATACACAAAAAAGGAAGTAGAGCTGTGGTTCAAATGGTAAGAGCACTGGCCTTGAGCAAAAGCTCAGAGACAGCACCCAGGTTGTGAGTTCAAACCCCAGGACTGGCAAAAAAAAAAAAAAAGAACCAGCCAAATAGCAGAGCCATAGACTCTCTACATCCTACCTTACTAAAAAGGAAACAGGTATAGCAATGTGGCTCATTCAAGCACAGGAATTTAGGAATGTGAGATGATAAATGACTGTTTCCCGCTAGTCAAAACGACACTCAGTTGACTGAAAACAGTCATATGATCTTATAACACATTTCTTATTCCTTAAGAAAACCACCCAAATTTTTGAAGTATCTTCTTAATCTGCTGTATTTTGGAGCTGCAATAAATTGATATTTTTTCCCATTTACACAGTAGAAAAAGTCACATTACAGTTACAGGTATTTTAAATAAACTTTAAACCACAGCTATGTCTAAATATACTGTGCACACAAAAGTACAAATGGGAATTACACTTCAGTTTTTCAACTGAAAGTAAAGTGCTAGGCTAGGCTGACTGTTTTAGAATTACCAAGGAACCTCCTCTTGTCCAGGGTAGGATTCCTAGACAGAATAAGATGCTCATTCTTGGTTTACTCCAGCCATCTCTGCTTTTGGCTTTCTGCCTGATCTTTGGGTGTGGATGGTCCTAATGACTGAACTCAAGGCCTGGGCACTGTCCCTAAGCTGTTCTTGCTCAAAGCTAGCACTTATCACTTGAGCCACAGCTTTGTTAATTGGAAATAAGAGTTTTATATGGCCTTCCTTGCCCAGGCTGACTTCAAACCTTGATCATTAAATCTAAGCCTCCTGAGTAGCTAGGCTTACAGGTATGAGCCACCAGCTCCCAGCTAGATATTCTTTTCAGATACCTTCTCCAAAGAAAACCGTGATAACCCCCCCGCCCCCCCCCCCCCCCCCCAAAAAAAAAAACAACCATGAAACTCTATAAAAGTGATTTCCTTATGGATACAAGAAGTGAAGGCACCACTGGAGATCACTTATAAGAATCCTATTTTCCCTAATCATTCCATTATAAAAACTTTCCTTAGTAGTAAGAAGAATTAAATACAGCTATTGATTCAGTCTGTCATTTAATGAGTATTTACTGATCACATTAGTGTGCCAGAAACTAGTTAGGTATTGAAGATTCAGTGAAGAACAAGTTGTACTTTGTGCCCAAGTTCACAGTAGTATAGACAGGCAACAATAAATAACAATAACAACAACAACAAATACAAGATGAGGCTAGAGCTGTGAAGGAAAGAATCTAGACAACGCATTAGAGATGATGGAAAAAACTTATTCTGATATTGCTTATCTAATTCTATCTGCTGGTTCCTTGCCTTATAGTTCAGGTTCAATTTCAAAGAGTCTCAAAGATTAATGACTTTTATTTGTACTAAATTCCAAAAGCAAGGATAAGCTATGTCTATCTGTGTATGCGGTTAAAAAAAAAATGGCCACCTGCATACATAATTTAAAATCTACATGAGAAAGGATGTCCTTTGGAAAAAATGTTTCACCATATGTTCACACCAAAAGAATTTAAAAAATAATTGGAAAATTAAGCATCTTATGTAATGTTACTTTTTTGAAGCCGAACACTTAATTTAAAAGGAAAAGTTAGGTAGGTGCCAGTGACTCATGACTATAATCCTAGCTACTCATAAGGCTTACTTCTGAGGATCAGGGTTCAAAGCTAGGCCATGCGGAAAGTCTCTAAGATTCCTATCTCCAATTAACCAGCAAAAAACCTTTAATGGAGCTGTGGCTCAGTGGTAGAGTCATCCGTAAGTGAAAAAGCTTAGAGATTCAGTGCCTAAGTCCTAAGTTCAAGCTTCAGTACTGACTGACACAGAAAGAAAGTCAAAGTCATGAATTCTGGAAGAAATACTTTTAATAATACTTTTGTTTCTAAAAACAGAAAAATCCTGCCTATGAGAAATATATCAGACCACTGCTACAAAGTTGGAGAGCCAGGCTCTAAAGCAACCAACAGTGTTGGAGAAGCAGCAGCCTGGTGGAGCCACAGCACACAAAATGAAACGGGAAACCCACACATACAAAAGGAAATATTAAATTACGTATTTCTAGAGTCATCTTTGGAAATATGGTCTGAAGTATTACCAGTTGAAACAACATCTGGATTTACTTCAAAATAGTCCTTAGAAGGAAAAAGGGAGAGTATTGAATGTGATCAATAAACGGGCACCTGGGTGCTCACCATTTGCTCTGCTTTTGAGTGTGTCTGAGATTTCCTGTAATAAAAAATAGTACAATCTATTTAGTTAATCGTTAGAATTTTCTTTAAATATAGCAGAAGGCAATAAACTTATTAGTTACCACTGTGTCTCTTCTTATCTAACTACTTAACTATATCTTTCTTTTTGTGGTGCTAGGAATCAAACCCACAGCCATGTGAATGTTAAACACTGAGCTACACACCCAGCCCACCTGGTCTTTAGCATTTATAGTAAAAGGATACACATCCTTACACACAGTCCTCCAAAGTATAATCTAAATACAACAGGGAGCCCTAAGAATGCAACTAAGAATTAACTTTGTCAACTCTCCTGGAGTAAAAGTGATTAAAATTTCATAAAAACAGACCTAATTATCCCAATTTACACAAATATAATCAAGCTACATTCTTCCTATCATTTTCAATTACCCAACTAGATACAAAATTAAATGACATTTGACAAAATTGCAGAAAAAAAAATCTCAGCTGTCTTACTCTTCCTAATTTGTTCTTAAACAGGTACCCCAAATAAACTTATTTCCAATAAGCTAGACAAGCAAGAAACCTCATCAGTTTTTAAGTTCCAAAAACATAATGTTATACAGTTTCCATGACTGTTCAACTCAAATCATTTTACTTCATGTTTACTTAAGTTAGTTCCACAACTCCTACTAATCAGCTGGAGTCTGAAATAGGACCAATTTTCTAAAATGGTAACCTGGGATGGCTACATTGATCTACTGAAACCACAGGAATCTGTCAATAACAGGAAAGATGGAGATAGTAAAATAGGAATCATAGGTTTCTGCGTGTGGGTAACTTGCCAAATCTCAGAATAAAATGTCACACATACATGGGCAAAATTGAACATAAGTAAATGTTCTCATCTTCCTTTTGGAAAGAGAATCTGGAAATGTTCTGAGAGGAAAAAAAGTCACCTGCCTGCTCCACAGCCCACAGCCTCAGAACTGTGAAAACAGAAATTAAGTTAGAAAACAGAGAATAAGTTACATAACTTCCTTTAACAGGCATTTTTGCAAACTAGGAAGTCTTACTCATTAAGAATCTCTTCTGTGGGTAACTTCCAAGAAACAGAATCCTGCCTGGTGCTGGTGGCTCATGCCTGCATCCTAGCTACTCAGGAGGCTGAGATCTGAGGGTTAAAGTTCAAATCCAGGCCATGCAGAAAGTCCATGAGACTCTTATCTCCAACTAACCAGCAAAAAGCCAGAAGTGAAGCTGTGACTGAGTAGCCTTAAGCAAAAAAAGCTCAGAACAGCGCTAAGCCCTGAGTTCAAGCCCTAGAACTGGCAGAAAAGGAAAAAACAAAGACGTTGAAAAAAAGAGATATACTGAAATAAATAAAAGTACACGCATCTCCCCAAGTGTTCCAGATCCTTCATCCACTGAAATTCATCTCTTCTCAGAAATAAACTTAATCTGATAATAATGTACATTTGTGGTCACAAATGTAGCATGGGAATGATGTCCCCATGCTCAGCACAAGGCTGAAATAAGTCATATTCACAACTATGACAACTGAAGAAAAACCTGTAATCTTCAGTATACGTCCTATTTGAAATAATCTTTTTTTTTTTTTAATCCAGTCGTGGGGCCTGAACTCTGGGCCTGGGCACTGTCCCTCAGCTCTTCAGCTCAAGGCTAGTGCTCTACCACTTGAGCCACCGCGCCACTTCCGGCTTTTTTCTTTTTGCTTATGTGGTGCTGAGGAATCGAACCCAGGGCCACATGCATGCAAGGCAAGCACTCTACCACTGAGCCACCTTCCCAGCCCTGAAATAATCTTTTCAATGGAATGTCCTCTCAAATATGCACTCTTTAAACCAAGTTCTGTCCATCCCTGTTTTAATTACATAACAGTGTTCTTAGGAACTATACTCAAGTTCCACTGAGCCCTCTCAAATCCAATCCAATATACAACTACAGGATGTATATACTGAGATATAAATAATGACTACTTTGAATGAGGAATGAGTTTCTCCACATAATAACAACAAATAAATACCATACTAATTTTCGTAGTTCACTTTTTTATTAGGCTTTTTTTTTTTCCTGGTCAACAGTACACTTGGGAATTATACTGTACCAGGCATAAGAAGATTTCTACCACAGGGACATTTTGTATTCAGAATCCAATATAAATATTTCTAGTCAGACATTTCCATGGCTATATATATTTGGTTGCTTGATTTATATGCATAGAAAGAAACAGTTGTCATAACTGTAAAAAGCAGTACTTAACAAGTACCTTTAAATGATTGGAAGTTTTCCTTTAATATTACAATACTGCTTATTGGCTTGGAAACTAGGTCGCCCTACATGATACTTTGATTTTTTTTTTTCCCTCAAAGGCATCATGAGAAAGTATTCCCCTCATTCTTTCATTCCTGTATTTTTAGCCTTCTAGTTGAGTTAGGGACCATTTTATCAGAAATCATTTTAGCACTGTAATAATAATAACAATAATAATAATAAAAAGCTCTGTTAAGGGTAGATTATATACCATAATGATTTTCAGACTTCTTTTTATAAAAAAGGTATCTGAAGACTCTAAACAGGCACATGCATACTCAGGGTAAAGGGAACAAAACCTGGAGGAGACTGCCAATCCACAAAACCTTCTGGTCCTCAATGCCTTCAAATAAATACAAATATTTTTAAAAAATCAGGAAAAGAAAAAGCAAAAGCAGAAGAAAACAGAAAAGCAGTCTCTTCCACTTCCTGGAGAGTCTGTTTCAGGAACTTCTTGGGCCTGAAGATTAGTCCTCTGTCTTCCGGGCCAATCTGCAGAAAGTCCAGTTGTGTTCCACTGTGTTCTCATTGGCCCGCTCACTCATGTGATGTACCCGAGTGTTACGGATTGTGAACCCTTGTTTTGTAATATACTCCATCAGGTGCACCCGGAGAGACACTTCCTGGTGATAATCACAAGGTCCAAACGTAAAGGAAACCTGGCAGTCTCTGGTGTCCATCATGTGCTTATTCCACTTGGTAAAATAATTGGAGATGCCTTCTAGTAAGGAATGGACCTTGGTGGTGATGGTTAACTGAGTTATGATGACAGCCACTGGATTGGAATACTTGGAAAGCTTCCGAGTACTAGAGAGCTCCACAACCTCTTCAAAAGTATCCATAGGATACAAAGGCTTAGGGTCATTGAGACACTGAATCAAGGGCTCAATCTGGTAAAAATCTGCTTCTTTCCTAAGCAGGTCAAATTCCTTAAAATCCAGGGGTAGGGTCAGCTCTGAAGTTCTTAAGAAGTTGAGGACATATCGGAAGAGAGGCCCATCTCGATCAATGAAGTAATTGCCTTGAGGGTCTCGAGCTGTGGGGAAGTCTCCCCCAAACATAGCTCCAAGCATGGAATCCGGGTAACGCGTCAGTGTAGTGAGGGACGTGGTATACAAGTGTCCACCTACATTTAATGTGACTGGGTCAGTCATCTGAAATTTTCAAAAACATCATCAGTCACCTGAGGTTCATAAAATCTGAACTTCGATGAATAAAGAACAATAACAATATCAACAAAGCATAGGAGTCCTTCGGACTCTACCAGAGACGGTAATCCTATAATGCAAAATAACTTTACTCTCAGTAATAAGCCCACTCACATGAGGGGATCTAACATTTGCTTCCAATAGGAAGGAAGAAGGATAAATCCAATCCTTTAAAGATTTACTCAAAGATTAGAGGGCATGACCTTCAGAGCCATATAGTTTCAGGCCCAGATCTAGAGTCTTCAAATCAAAATATACTACAGGAAGAGAGAGGACAAACTAAAATATCATATTTTGTTGCTTTGTTCTAATTAAGGAAAAAACTTCAATCTTCTTAACTCAATTTAACATAATACAATTAAAATGATCTAATAAAGACAAATACTTCCAAAATTTCTAAGAAAAGCAAGTCATCAAAGTGTGTGTGTTTTGTGCCAGTACTGGGGCTTGAACTCAGGGCATGGGGTACTGTCATTTTGGTCAGTCATGGGGCTTGAACTTAGGGCCTGGTTTCTGAGCCTGGGCTTTTTTGCTCAAGGCTAGTGCTCTACCAGCATAAACCACATCTCCACTTCTGGCTTTTTGGTGATGAACTGGAGCTAGGAGTCTCATAGACTTTTCTTTTCTAAGCTGGCTTCAAACCTTGATCCTCAGATCTCAGCCTCCTGAATAGCTAGGATTATAGATATATGCTACCAGCACCCAGCTTCCCTTAGATTTTTTGCTCAAGGTTGGTCCTCTACCACTTTAAGCCATACTTTCATTTGCAGCTTTTTGCTGGTAACTGGAGCTAGGAGTCTCACAGACTTCCTTTTCTGAGCTGGCTTCAAATTGAGAACCTCAGATCTCAACCTCCTACAAGCATGAGCCATTGGTGCCTTGCATGAAACTTTTTTTTTTTTGTTAAAGGGCTTGAACTCTGGGCCTGGGTGCTGTCCCTGAACTCTTCAGCTCAAGACTACCACTCTACCACTTGAGCCACAGCACCACTTATGGTTTTCTGGTAGTTAATTGGAGATACGAGTCTCACGATTTTCCTGCCCAGGCTGGCTCTGAACCATGATCCTCAGATCTCAGCCTCCTTGAATGGCTAGGATTACAGGTGAGAGCCATCGGTGCCCAGCTCGAAACATATTTTAAAAATAAAAACTGGGGCTGGGAAGGTGGCTCAGTGGTCAAGTGCTTGCCTTGCATGCATAAGGCCCTGGGTTCGATTCCTCAGCACCACATAAGCAGAAAAAAAGAGCTGAGGGACAGCGCCCAGGCCCATAGTTCAGGCCCATGACTGGACCCCAAAAACAAAAAAAAATAAATAAAAATAAAAATAAAAACTGTGGAGCTGGGAGGGTGGCTCAGTGGTAGAGCGCTTGCCTTGCATGCATGAGGCCCTGGGTTCGATTCTTCAGCACTACAGAAGCAAAAAGAAAAAACCCGGAAGCGGTGCTATGGCTCAAGTGGTAGAGCGGTAGCCTTGAGCTGAAGAGCTGAGGGACAGCACCCAGGCCCAGAGTTCAGGCCCCATGACCGGCCCCCCCCCAAAAAAAAAATAAAATAAAAACTGTGCAAGTTTAATTCTAATAGCTTGGCACTTTCCCTCAGCTCTTCAGCTCAAGGCTAGCACTCTACCACTTGAGCTACAGCGCCACTTCCGGCTTTTTTTCTTTTTGCTTATGTGGTGCTGAGGAATCGAACCCAGGGCCTCAGGCATGCAAGGCAAGCGCTCTACCACTGAGCCACCTTCCCAGCCCCCTCCTTTTTTTTTTTTTTTTGTCGGTCGTGGGGCTTGAACTCTGGGCCTGGGCGCTGTCCCTCAGCTCTTCAGCTCAAGGCGAGCGCTCTACCACTTGAGCTATAGCGCCACTTCCGGTTTTCTGGTGGTTTATTGGAGATAGGAGTCTCATGGTCTCTCCTGCCTGGGCTGGCTTTGAACCGCGATCCTCAGATCTCAGCCTCCTGAGTAGCTAGGATTACAGGCGTGAGCCACCAGCGCCCGGCTCCTTTTTTTTTTTTTTTTAATGCTATTATTACCAGGTCATAAACTCTGGTCCTTGTGCTCTCACTTGGCTTTTCTGTTCACAGCTAGCACTCAACCACCTGAACCACTCCTTCATTTCTGGCTTTTTCTCTTTTTTGGCTGATAAACTGGAAATAATATTTGTCTGCCCAGGCTGGCTTTGAACCTCAATCTTCAGAGCATAGCCTCCTGAGTAGCTAGGACTGTAAATGTAAGCCACTGACACTGAGCTTCTAATAACTTTTTCATGGAAATAATAGTTCTAAACACTAAGTTAAAATATACACTTTAGCTAACCATATAACCCAAAAGCTAATAGAGGCTTTAAATTTCATTATCTAATAGTATATTCACTTTTGTAACATTAATGTTGCAAGCTGACCTTTAGAGAAGCAAGCTTCTCTAAATAACACATACCACTGGCTTTAAAGTTTATATTAAGAAAAAAAAAAGAATCTTCAGGTATTAGGAAAACAAATAATTTCTTACCAGAGGAAGAGAAATAGGGAGGGAGACAAGCACACGCAAATGTGCAAATGGGGCAAGAGGCACAGTCAGATCTAACTGCTAATGCCCAACCACAAGGAAGCTTCCTCATCCCATTACCTTCTGGGCCTTCCAAGAGTTTTTTGAGCAAGATACTCCAAAGACCAAATTCCCTGTACCCCTAAAGTAAGTGATTACAAAAAGTCACTTAACCATCCAGGCAGCGGTGGCTCACGCCTGTAATCCTAGTTACTCAGGAGGCTGAGATCTGAGGATCGCGGTTCAAAGCCATCCTAGGCAGGCAAGTCTGTGAGGCTCTGATCTCCAATTAACCACCAGAAAATCAGAAGTGACATTGTGGTTCAAAGTGGTAGAGTGCTAACCTTGAGCAAAAAGAGCTCAAGGACAGAGCCCAGGTCCTGAGTTCAAGGCCATCAAAAAAAAAAAAAAAAAAGTCACTTAACAGTCTGTATTGAATCTGTATCCATTAAAACACCAAAACAAACAAAAATGCCCTCCAAAGTCATACAAATAAATAGGAGGGGCAGTTTGCACAATTCCTAATTTTTATCTGTATATATTATACCTAGGATGCATCAGGAAAAAAGAAACAAAAGCAAGTTGCCAGCTTTTGAGTGAGCCACCAGCCACTCACCATATAGCCCCAGTCTCCATTATCCATCTGCTCCAGCGCTGCGTCTCCAGGGGCCCAGATTCCAGGGAAACTTTGGAAGGAGAAAATGGATATATGATAGCACATGTAACTCTATAAACGGCAAATAAAGCTCTTACCACCCGACAGAACAGGCCAAGTACCCAATACTAAAACCTACTCCAGAACTAGGCACTCAGGAAGCTTGAGGCAGGAGGATCACAAGTTTGAGGCCAGCCAGGCTACCTGGTTAGATCTTGTCTCAGAAAACAAACATATAAAACAACAAAAACCTACAGTGCAACAAAGATCTGAGAAGAAAACATCCCTCGTCTCCATGCTCATCCTCTGGAGCCCATAATACACAGGGCAGGAACTCTCCTATACTCAGAAAACATGCAGCAGCATGCAAAGTTAACTGCTCAAATCTTGTCTCTCTTCTCTAAAAATCTAATTTTAAGAATTTTTGTACAAAAACATCATGATTAACTTCTACAACTTATGTCATGACAAACCCATGATTATTCTTTGTCAGAAAGGTCATTTACAGGAAAGGGAAAACTTCATCAGCATTCCAGCAGCATAATCTAAACATCTCAGTAAAAACATGTAACACCATAAATGTCCAAGACATCAAGGTCAATTTCCAGGGGAAAGACATCAAAATAGTATTTATCTTTAAAAACAAAACTAATTATACTTCAATAATGCAGTATTTCTTTTTGTGTAATAGTCAGAACAAATGGAAAGCAACTGAAATGACAAACTATTAGCATGGGGGTAAAAGAACCTCACAGGGGGCTGGGAAGGTGGCTCAGTGGTAGAGCGCATGCCTTGTATGCCTGAGGTCTTGGGTTCAATTCCTCAGCACCACATAAGCAAAAAGAAAAAAGCCGGAAGTGGCGCTATGGCTCAAGTGGTAGAGCGCTAGCCCTGAGCTGACGAGCTGAGGGACAGCACCTAGGCCCAGAGTTCAGGCCTCACAACTGGACCCCCCCACAAAAAAAGAACCTCACAGATCAGTCTGAGAGTCAACCAGCCAGTACTTGCAGCCTTAGGAAAATGACCAATACCTATATAGTAAGGATGCTAGTTTGAATTTGTCTTGCTTTACACTTCAAGAGGATTCCCAGTCTTCCAGCTACTGAACTGCCAAAGCCAGTTCCCTCTCATTCCCCAAACCAACCTGCAAAGCAACCTGCAAAGTTAAATGACAAAAGCTCTGGCAAGTGATGGTCAGAAACACTGACTTGTCAGTATTCAGCCAGTCTTTGAGCAAATGCACTTTTCCCACTTTTAGAAAAATCTGGCACACAATTCTCAGAACAAGCCCAGGCTACAGAAGATCACAAAGGCTCTTTCTCAAAAGGTCACTCAGGCATGTAGAGAACATTTGCATAGCACAGCATGGGCTGAAATCGGAGCCTGGAGCATCCATTTTCTCTACCTTGCAAATTCTTCAAAGCAAAACAAGCTAAAATGTGGAGCAAATGAGGATGCAGTCAGTTTTTATTCTTTACACTCAGCAGTTGGATGTAGATAGGCCTCTACATGCTACAGGATAAGAAATGAAACAAATGTCAAACTCAGGGCTCTTGTGACAGCCTTCCATTCCTCTCACTTGCTTCACAAACAGAACCAAGAAATATGCTTTACCAGTCTGTCTTGTCAGCCTCTGATTCCATTCCTAATAACAACAAATTGGTAGTGATTTGAAAGGTCAGTCATCCAAAAATTCTGGTAAATGCTCATCTTTGGTATTTTCTCCTTACCCAAAGTATTCTTTCATGAAAGCTTCAATAATCAGTCATTTAATCAATCTATTGTAGTTCAACCATGTTGGGAGGGAACACCTATGTGCAATGTGAACACACAGAAAAGGAAAAGTACAATGCCTGCCCTCAAGGGGCTTTCACTCTACAGAAGAAGGAAAACACACAAAACTGAAAACAAAAGGAATTCCACAGCGCCATAGATAGATGGCTTGGCAGGGCCTGTAAGGAAGAAGATTCCAAATGGGAAAATGGAGAACTCCGGGGAAGGGTTCAGTCAGAAGAAAATTTGCACAACCAGAGAAGGGACTCTAGAATTAAAGAAAACATTTACACAGCACGTGAAAGTCTTTTATCCTCATGGGCTAAGCCAGTAGGCCCAGCATAGATTATAGCCCCCATTTTAGAGGTGCAAAACAGAGAAACAGGGTGGATTAAATGGCTCAAACTCTACCACTCAAAAGTAAATTTGTTTACTATCATTTGAAATCGGGGCCTTAAACTCACAACTGGTGCTCTACTACTGGGCCTATCCTCCAGGCCTTCTTTGTGGGGGTTATTCTGGAGATGCAGTCTTCTCAGATTTTTTCTGCCCAGACTGCCTTCAAATCTCTACCCTCCAGACCTCAGCCTCCTAAGTAGCTAGTTTTGGCCTAGACTTGAGTTTCTGATTCCTGGTCTACATCTTTCCATAATATCTCTCTTGGATAGAAACCTAAAGAACAGAATCCAAGAAAACAAGACACTGAAGAGAATTAATTTGAGACTTACTATAGCCACCTATTAACTATATTTACCTACTGTAAGATTTACTTTACAGGGGGTAGAGAGGGGAAGGGATGGTATGGGGAAACAAAAGAGGAGGCAACAATGCTTGATAAGAAATGTACTCACTATCTTGCCCATGTAATTGTAACCCCTCTGTTTGGTATTTTCACAATAAAAAAAAAAAAAAAAAGATTTACTGGCCTGGGAAGGTGGCTCAGTGGTAGAGTGCTTGCCTTGCATGCATGAGGCCCTGGGTTCAATTCCTCAGTACCACATAAGCATAAAGAAAAAAGCTGGAAGTAGCACTGTGGCTTAAGTGGTAGAGCGCTAGCCTTGAGCTGAAGAGCTGAGGGACAGCGCCCAGGCCCAGAGTTTAGGCCTCACGACCGGACCCAAAAAAAGATTTACTTTACAGTAACTCTTCCTAATCAAACAATTATAATGGGTTTGTAAAGATTCCTTAAGAATAAGGAAAAATGGCAGGTACTTACTCATATGGCTGTTGCCTGGTTTCAAGTGACAAAGAATTCTAATTCAGCCTAGTGGCTCTTACCTACAATCCTAGCTTAGGGTTCCAGACCCAAAGCCAACCCAAGTAGAAAACACTGTGAGACTCCAGTTCCAATTAACCAGCAAAAAGCTAAACTGGAGGCACAGCTCAAATGGTAGAGCAACTGCTGTAAGAAAGAAAGTCAAGAGTGAGAACATAAGACCCTGAATTTCAAGCCCTGGTACCAGCACTAAAAATAAATAAATAAATAAAATCTAATCTATGAATTATCCAAATGGCCAATAAGAAATGGAAAAACAAAGACAAAAGATGAACAAATACCAATATAACAGTTGCTATGGGGGCTGGGAAGGTGGCTCAGTGGTAGAGCGCTTGCCTTGCATGCATGAGGCCCTGGGTTCAATTCCTAGCACCACATAAGCAAAAAGAAAAAAGCCGGAAGTGGCACTGTGGCTCAAGTGGTAGAGTGCTAGCCTTGAGCTGAAAAGCTGAGGGACAGCGCCCAGGCCCAGAGTTCAGGCCCCACGACCGGACCCCCCCCCCCCCCCCCCGAACAAATACCAATATAACAGTTGCTATGGGGGCTGGGAAAGGTGGCTCAGTGGTAGAGTGCTTGCCTTGCATGCATGAGGCCCTGGGTTCGATTCCTGAACACCACATAAGCAGAAAAAAGCCAGAAATGGTGCTGTGGCTCAAGTGGTAGAGTGCTAGCCTTGAGCTGAAGAGCTGAGGGACAGCGCCCAGGCCCAGAGTTCAAGCCCCACGACTGGCATAAAAAAAAAAAAAAAAAAAACAGTTGCTATGTCCACTACCACTAATCGTTTTCCAACTTCTAAAAAAAGCAAGTTTTTGAGCAGTAATACTAAGTAAATTAGCAAGGTATCAGTGCCTCACGCCTGCAATCCTAGATACCCAGGAAGCAGAGATCTGAGAATCAGATTGGCTCAAAGCCAGTCTGAGCAGGAAAGTCCATGAGACTCTTATCTCCAACTAAATGCCAAAAAAAAGCCAGAATTGGAGCTGTGGCTCAAGTGGTAGAGCACTAGCCTTGAGCAAATAAGCTCAGGGATAACATTCAAGCCCTGAGTTCAAGCCCCAGGATACATACACACAGGACACACACACACTCAAGCCCTGAGTTCAAGCCCCAGGATACATACACACAGGACACACACACACAAGCCCTGAGTTCAAGCCCCAGGATACATACACACAGGACACACACACACACACCACACACAAATTAGTTGAGACTCCTGAAACTGCTCCACACAGGATACCCGGGCGCGCGCACACACACACACACACACACACACACACACACACACACACACACGCACGCACACACACACTCAAGCCCTGAGTTCAAGTCCCAGGATACATATACACAGGACGCGCGCGCGCGCACACACACACATATACACACACACACACACACACACATTAGATGGGACTCCTGAAACTGCTCCATGGCAAAAAGCCTCAGCTTTTGCCTCAGAAGACGATAACAAAAGCTCAAGATAAGTAATTCAGGAAAGCAATTACCTGATCTACATGTGCCTGTGTTTCTTAAAAAGCATCCCAAAGCCTTCTTGTGCTTGTATATAAGATCTCAAAATAAACACAAGTTACTACTAGTCACTTTCATTAACAATGACTAAACAATCTAAAAAGATCAAATTGTTTATTAGTAAGCTCAATGAGAAAAACAGAGTATTGGTTTAAATTTTATCTGTCTACTCCTTACAAACATCCTCTGTAGAGATTCTTGAACACAACAGCAGCAGCAGCAGCAGCAGGATTCCTGCTTAGCCAATAGCTGGATTCTGAATTTATGACCCAACATCTCAAGACTATGGCAGATGAATGAAAACATAATCCAAAAGAATTTCCAGAACACCTTCAATTTCTTCTACTAAATCATTTTCCAGAGCTGCTAACAATTAGAAAATGATTCATTTGCTTTTCATCTTCTCTCCCTCCTGGCCCAGTCTCCAGTGGAGGGCTTAATGAAAACTTTACAGGACCACAATTCAGGCAGTGGAGAGAAGAGCTGCAAATGGCCCTACTTTACTTGAAGTAAAAGAAACATCTAATATTTCAGATAATTCATGAGAAATGGAGATTATGAGGGCAACATTTTTTTAATCCTTTAAAATGCTTTTCCTTACTAAATATCACTAAAGAGGCAGTGAAAGTAACTGAGCACCATTATGAAGTTCAAAGGCTTTCTGACCTTGTAAAATCAGTTCACCTTAAAAGATCTGACCTTTGGCCCAAATAAAATTCTTGTAACAGCACTGGAAATTCACTTGTATATAAGCATAAAAGGTTACTGAAGCTAATATATAAATTCTGATGGTATGTTAGATAATTAAAGACCTATTAAAGGATGGAGCCAGGCATCGGTGGCTCAAGCCTGTAATCCTAGCTACTCAGGAGGCTGAGATCTAAGGATCATGGTTCAAAGCCGTGAGACTCTACTCTCCAATAAACTACCAGGAAACCAGAAGTGGCGCTGTGGCTCAAGTGGTAAAGTGCTTGCCTTGAGCTGAAGAGCTGGGTGAGAGACAACGCCCAGACCCAGAGTTCAAGCGCCACAACCAAAAAAAGAAAAAAAAGTAAAGAATGGATATGTTGAAAAGGGTGATACAGATCAAGCACAAATACTTAAAGATAATAGAAATAAAATATAAGAGTAACTAAACAAAACCTATTACCTGAAAAAAAGAATGCATAATACCTAAAAGAAATTATAATTTTTCTAAACTGGCAAATCTGAAGGACTTACAACCCATTAAGTCAATTAAAAATTAAATAATTAATTTAAAAATAACCTAAGAATCCCAAAGTTATCTTCCTCACTACCAGAGAACTTATGGATAATGACAAACACAAGTCGTCAAGAGTTTTATAATTTTTGCTATAAACTAAGAATCAATATTGCTTATAACAACCTACACATTGCAGTAAAAGTCTCCAAATCTGAACAAGTAAAAATAAAAGCTTATGACCACTCTTCCCAGTGATTCCATGTAACCTTTAAAACTGCTTTTCTACTGAAACCTTTGTGCCTGGCATTCTGAAAAGGAGTCAATAAATTCTCTCCATCTATACTTACCTTCAAAATTGCCTTTGTACTGAGTTTCTCTGTTCTTGAAACGTGGGAGTTTGAAAGTGAAACACTTTTTTATAGTAACTAGTTCAGCCACATCTAAAGGAGTCTTTGGAGTTAATATCCACGTACAGGCCAGCACAAATAGCCAGGCAGACAAGAATAATGTAATTACAATGTCAGATTATCCCTAACTACACTGCTGCAGAAATGGATCCTCTTTTTAAAAATAATAGTAATCCTTTTCACTCTCTTCTTTCTTAAACATATTGTCTAATAGAAAAGTTATAGATTGAAAAATGACCTACAATGTTAAAAAGACAAGTCACAAAATCTTAAAATTCCTCTTCTCTTCAGTTTCCATGGGCTAATAATACCACCTTGCCCAAAGTAAGCACACCACTGAAACACAAGGATAAAACCCTGCCCATAGGTTAACGGATGTTGAATAGGGTTCTGAAGTCACATGCAGGTTTCAAAGGGCACAAAGAAAAGAGAACTAGGGCTGGGGGAGAAAGACCAGTACCCCAATTCTGCATCCTTCCTAATTAGAAGGGCCTGTGTAAACCACTCCTCTTTGGGGGAAATGGAGAAAATAGCAAAATGATGACTACAAAACAAACATTGTACGAATGTGAAAATGCCTGTAGCAATAACGTACACAAAATTTCTGAGGTAGACTGAAAAACAGCAACAAAGAAGGACTCCTCCCCTCCATGTGCTCCCAGTCTCACAGATCCTCCTTTTCCAAGACCACCCCCACGAGGGAGAGCTGCTAAAACGGCAGCCAGTCCTTTTCCAAGGCCTCACACATGAGCACTTGATTCAGAACTTCTCTGCATGACTCAGGACGGTCGAATCCAAATAAATTTCTATATTCCACAGACACCATATCAAAACGATGGGCACTGGTGGCTCATGCCTGTAATCCTAGCTACTTAGGAGGCTGAGATC